TCAGTTCTTAGCACAGTGCCTGGCACATAGTAGGTGCTTTATAAATGTTGACTGAATGAATGAATATGCCATGCAAGGCAAAATTTAAAAAAAAAGATTTTTTTTTAAAAGAGCACATCCACGTTGATCTTTTTAAGTAGAACCATAGTTGATACTGATTCCCTTTCACTGATCCTCCTATAGCCTACAGAGCACAGAAGAAGAAAACTCTCCCCCTGCAATTTTTTCATCTAAAGAGAGACAAAAAACACGCATATAAAAAGAATATAAGCACACAAAACGGGAATATAAATACTCACAAAATAAATATATGCCTATTTCGCTCACTGCTGATCAAAATTTGGGGAAAACAGGCCATTGTGAGCCAAGAGATTATGGGAAGATGGCAGTGGGCTAGTTCGCACGGGTCCCAGAGCCCTGACAAGACTCACAAAGAGCGGAGGCAGGCAGCTACGCCAGGTACCTTCAGGGTCTTCTCGGGCTGTACTGTCTGAGCCCCCCAGCTGCAGGTTGTAGGACGGTGGCTACAAGAAAACAACTTAAGGGCATTGTGAATGGGCCAATCCAGTGCGGCAATCCCTGACCAAGCCAGTTAGGGACCCCAAGTCTTCGCTGCCAAAACCAGATCCAGGAAGGGGCCACCTCACGGCATCCTGGGTATGTCCACAGCAGCACTTCTGGAACTAACCCAAACTAGGCCTGGACTAGCTGAGAGAGTCCTCTAGTCTGAGGGGTCCCAGCAGGGTCCCTGGGGAACTGCTGGAGAAAGGCCGAGGCAAAATGCAGCCTGAGCAGCTCAGGAGGCCCGTGGCCGCAGCCCAGCACGGAAGAAACCTTGGGCCCAGCGCAAGGAAGGATATGTCAGAGCCTGGTAAGGGGTAACCCCATAGGAGGGTCCAAGCCCCTCAAAGAGGGGCCTACTCACACAACATTCTGTATTTTAGTTTGACTCAGCATCTACCCCACCCTCCGATTAGCAAACCAAGGGAAAATCTGACCACTATGAGGAAATGCCACAGTTGGATACTCCCTTACACAGCGGGGCAAACCCCAAAAGATTATGTAGCAGGGGTGGGGAACCTGCCGCCTCGAGGCCACACGTGACCCTCCAGGTACTCAAGCGCGGCCCTTCTACTAAGTAAGTTTGGATTCAGTCACAGGGCCGTACTTTGAGTTCTGGAGGGCCACGCGAGGCCACAGGCTCCTACCCCTGGATATAGTAACCTCACAAGGCCAGGTAAAGCCTTAGAGGGAAAAAAAATGCCCTACAGGAATCCCTGGGGGAAAAAAAGGAAGCAAGAACAATAGAATGGAATAAGTTGGGAAGAAAGAATGGGTAATGAAAACTGACACTATGGAATAGAAGGTAGAAAACCTCACTAAAGAACCGAATGTCTTCAAAATTAGAATGGACCAAATAATACCACAGGAAATACCAAAACAAAAGTTAAAAAGGAAAAAAAATCTTTACAATGTAATATCAGAAACAACTGACCTAGAAAGTAGACCAAGGAAAGACAATATAAGAATTATCAAACTCTCCAAAACTTATGCTCAGGAAAAAGGGGGGGGGGGCTGGATACTATAATTTCCAGAAAGTATAAATAAAAATTGTCCAGTACTCTTAGAACTAGAGGGTAATGTAAAATGAGAAAAAATTCAATTAAAGAAGCTAGGAAGAAAACTCAAAATGAAACTCCCAGAAGCATCAAAACCAAAATCCAGAGCTTCCAGGCAAAAGGAAAAAAAATTCTCCAAGCAACAAAAAAGAAATTCAAATACCTAGGAGCCTTAGTATAGACAAGACAGCATAAAAAATAGTTAAGACTATGAAATTCCAAAAGGCAAGATACGTATTATATAATCAAGGATAACAACTTATCTGGTAAAACTAAATATAATCCTATGGGGGGAAAAGGTACTCTTAATAGAATAGAGGATTTCCAAGCATTTCAGATGAAAATACAAAAACTGAGGAGACCCTTGGAAATGGAAATACGACTGTCAAGAGAAATATAGAAAGGTACATCTATATATCTAACTGAAAGAAAATATGTGGGGATGAATTTTTTATATGTCAATAGAAGGATAAAAATGTCTCAGAACCCTAATATATTTAAGGCTCATAGAGAAAATTTAAAATTATAGAGGGTCTGTGGCTAGTTTTTTTTTTCTGCTTTTATGGTCTTAGTTAAAAACAAAAATAGGAGAGCTAGGGGACTATTTAGAAAGAAGGGGAGGAAAATTACTATTGCATAGTAGAGTTTCACAAGATGAATATATGCCCATGAAAGACAGGATGGGGACTGGGCACCCCATGAACATCTCACTCTCATACAAATTGGATAAAGAAAGATTAGGTATAATTATACACATGCATAGGATTCTTAGTATAGAAATACATTAAACTCAAAAGGGAAACAGAATGAGATAGGGACAATGGAGGGAGGGCAAGATAAGAAAAGATAAAACAAAACAGTCTCAAATATTGGAGGGAAGGAGAATCAAGAAAGGATTAAAAAGAAAGGTAGTAAAAACCTGAGATTGGGGCAAGGTAAGAAAAGAAGAGATGCAACGGAGAGCAAACACTTTTCATTTGTAAGCTCACAAGTACCAGGAAAATTGCCCTTCTATCCCACCTTCTCTTATTTAAAAAGAGGAAAGTGAGATTAAAAAGAGAAAAGTATAAGAACTCAGGATAGAGGGAAACACACAATTAAGAATTGTAATTTTGAATATAATAGGATGAACTCACCCATAAAAATCTTGCTTTTTTTTAAGTTCAGCTAAAGCTTAATAGATTTTTGCTCTACTCCTCATTTTTATACCATGTGAATCTTTGTGTTTCAAATGTATTTCTTCTAAATAATATATTGTCAGATTCTGTTTTCTAATCCATTCTGCTATCTTCTTCTATTTTATGGGTGAGTTCATCCTATTACATTGCAAATTATAAATCTTAATTGTGTGTTTCCCTCTATCCTGACATCCTGTGTATTTTTCTCTCTTTAATTCCACTTCCCTCTCTATAAGGTAACTAAAGAAAAGATAAAAAGTTAAACAAAATTTTATTATGCTAAAAGGCACCATAAATACTGAATTAATATAACAATTAACATTAATGCCATGATTAATACCATTCACTTAATGCCATAGTATCTAATGACTTAAAATAAAAGTTAGATGAATTAGAGGGAGAAATAAATATTAAAATTATAATAGTAGAGGAACTGAATGTGCCTTTTTCAGACCTAGACAAGATTAACAAGAAGAATGCCAAGTATCTTAGAAGAAATTTAGAAAGATTAGAGCTTATATATGTATCTCTGGTAATATGAAAAAAGAAACTTAAATACTTGTCACCCATATGTAGAAAAATTAACCATGTATTGGAATATAAAGACTTTACCAAAAATATAGAAAGGTACAAATATTAAACATACTAATTGCAATGCATCAAGAAAGAGGTCTGAAAGCAATCATTTTAAAGTAATTAGAGACTAAATGACATAATTCTAAAGAACTAGTGGGTCAAAGAACAAATTAAGAAACATGATTTTTGCCATAAATTTTTTAGGAAAGGTGGAAGTATGATATGTCAGAAAGGATAAAGTAAATGCCAGGAATGACAAATATGAAGGCTTAGAAACAGGAGGAAAATTTAATAGAGATATTAATTGGCAGAATTATAATATCTTTAAAAAGATTTATTCTTTAAAAAAATATTTACCCATGATTTATTTTTAAAACATAGGAGAAAGAACAGTGAAGTTAGAGTCAGAGGACTTGAATGCTCAGACATTTACTGCCTGTATAACTTGGGGCAAAATATTTTACTTCCCTGGGCCTTGTTCTCCTCATAAAGCAGGTATATATCACAGTGATTGGAGTGCTGAAACTTGAGTGAGGACGTTAAGTTCAAATTTTGCCTTAGACATTTCCAAACTGTGTGACCCATGACAGGTCACTTAACCACTGTCTCTCTCAGCCTCCTCATCTGTTAAATGGGGATAATTACAGCACCTACTTCCCAGGGTTGTCAGGAGGATAAAATGAGATAATATTTATAAATCTCTTCATAACCCTTAAAATACTACATAAATGCTAATTATTATTATTAATATTATTTATAAAAAGAGAGAGTTAGACTAGAGAGGACCTGTAAGGCCCTTTCTAACACTAAATTTATGACCCTAGGATCATGTGATCTAATTCTTGAAATTTAAAATGTTTAGAATAAAAGAGCACTAAAGGAGATAAGCAAAGATAAAGATGAATTATGTATAACAATCCTCTTAACCATAATTTAGTTTTAAAAAAAATGGAAAGACACAACTCTACTCATTTAAAACATTCCTATATATTTTACTATAAACTTGATTTTCTCAATAACAAATGTTAAGCATTTAATTAACACTGTGAGATAAGGAGTATTAATTTCTTAGCTCTTTCTGAGTAAAAAGAGTAGACAGGGAGTGGAAGGTAGATAGAGTTTGAATCCAACTAAGTGGTATAAATTCAGCCCTACTTTCTGTTACTGCAGTTAAGACCTATGTTGAAAGGCAAATATGTTATCTAAAACTGTCAATACATAAAACCTTTAACACTTTAGCCTGAATTATTCATCAGCAGAGCACTAGTGAAATGCAATGCCAGTTGGATAAGTTTTAATGAGGAGGAGAGGTTAGGGAAAGGTCCTGAGGATTAGGTGCTATTCAGAAGAGGACCTGTACGTTCAGTCTCAACCTTGAATGACAAAGGAACACCAAGAGGGCCTTGAGTACCTCAAGGCAAAGCACTGAGACAGAGAAGCAGTTTGATAAAATGAGGGACGGGGCACTGAAAACATATTTTATACACTTTATGGTTTAGCTGAGAGCTTCCCCTGAGGGTATATGCCATTAATATACATAAGTGACAGAGGCAATCCAAAATCAGGCTCAGTGGTCAGATACCCTTAATATATTCACACACATATTTTATTTATATTGGTACGCAATATGTATTCATAGGGATTATACATTAGGAAGTGCTAGGCAGTTGTATTAAAAAGAATATGTAATACCATAATGCAAGATCAGAAATGAAAATTCTCCCTCTACCTTGAATTACTTACAAGTTTTCACTGCAGGTACATGATACACAGTACTTAGTCTGTCTCCACTGGTGGTAGAAACCAGAAAATTGTATTCTGTGCCTGGGGTCAGATTTTCAATAGTAATTTTGTTGTTGCTTTTTAAAGGCAGTGTTATATTGGGACCTCTATTCGTTACAATATGTATGCCATCAAACACACCAATATCAGGCATTTGAACAAATAAAATCACGGAGGTACTATGAAATTCATAGGGGATAATAATCTGAACTGGTTTGGGTTCTGAAAAACAAACAGAAAGGAAAGTATATTTTAAATTCATTTTTCACTTACAAAGCACAGTTGTTCAGTAGAGATAGTTCATGAATTTTTAAAAATGATAAATGTCCATGTCATAAGGTAGTGCATTTTTTTTTTCTGTTTGACTCTGGAGGACAGGAATAGGAACAATAGGAAAAATTGCAAATAGGCAAATTTAAGCCTGGTATAAGGAAAAACTTCCTATCAACAAGAGCTATCCAACAAGTACTACTACTACTACTACTACTACTACTACTACTACTACTACGACTAGTTGTTGTTGTTGGCGGGTACTTTGGAAGGTAGTGGGTTCCCTTTATTGGAGGAACTTGGTAACCATTTGTTGGGTATGTTATATGGGGAATTACTTCATGTATAGGCTGGATCAGAGTGTTGATGAATTTTCTTACAGCTCTCAAATTCTGCAAGCCTGTGAACATTTAATTAACCCAAGCAGTGTTCAGAAAATAAGATATTTTGCTTCTCAGAGATGCATTTATATACCTGATGCCCATTTCAGCTTTACATTCCAAGTCCCAAGGGAAAAAAGCATCTAAAAGATAAATTTTACTTACAGAAAGTTGATAAGTTTATAAAATCTCAGATATTTTCATCTCAAACTGCTGTGATTAATATTATTCAGAAAATTATTACATATTGATATTAATCTGAGGTATTTTAAATCGTTCTTTTTTTTTTTATCAGAAGCAATGTATCATATTGACCTCCAACCTCCTCATTTTACAGATGGGAAAGTAAAGACTAGAGATGTTAAGTGACTTTCTCAAGATCAAAATGCTAGTAAGTATTGGAAGTGAGATTTGAACCCAGCTCTTCCTGGTTCTAAGTCTAGCATTCTATCTACTACATCACACTAATGGAACCAAGAACCTTGCCTAGGTGAGCCTAAGACTGGACCTTAAGTCAAGAAGGCTGCCTCCTCTATTCTATGGTTCTTTCCCAAAGTCCAGGTCACCCAATTATAAGCTTGAGAAATGGACATCTTTGATGGCTATCTCTTAAATCTGAAAGTTCTTGGGTCACTAAGTCAAAGCTTAAGGAGCAGCGGGAAGTGATTTCCGTAATGTCCTGCTTCTCAGAGGAGAGCAACTTCAAGAACAGAAGGGTGTTATTCCTATCAGCACAAAGAATACTCAAGTGTTGCCTAGTTGTTTATGTAGTACTGATCTGACTGCAAAATATCTATTCAGCAGTCCCACCCAATTGTCTTTATCTCCCAGAAGAGATAAAATTGGTGTCATGGGTTATCATTTTATATTTTAAGTATTTCTTAATGCATACTTTTGAGTCTTTTAGGCTTTAAGCATTTTGTTTTGGTGGACAAAATTAATAGCTATTCTCTGCTTTGTACATTTAGTATCTTTTCTAGACAGGGCCCTGCTAATTCCTTTTAGGGAAGATTCTGGTCATGAACTATACCTAAGCTTTATTCTGAAGATTCTCCCCAGAACTCTGAGGTAGAGGAGTATAATGAGCCAGAGGGATGACAAAAACCTGACTTTACTCTTTTATGGATCAGGCCTCCCCCGTGGTGACTCTAGGCTCTGTGTGAATTTAGAAGTCCAAATAATATGAGTAGACCAGAAATTTAAAAAAAATCCATAAATACACTAAGTATCCTAGTTCGTATTTGTAATGCAAAACTACCTACATTTTCCAGTGTTTAACAATTACCCCCAGATCAGCAAATATCTCATAACAATTTATAAATCAGTGTCTTACTTAGAGTTTTTTGAATAGTTATGAGTTCACTCTTATTTCCATTCTTCACTGTTGCCACTCCTATGTCATAGGTCATCCCAGGAGTTAATAGATCAATCTTGAATTTGTTAGTGTTATTTACTAAATGCTTAATGGTTTCACTTGCATCTGATAGAGATTTTGCTTGAATGTAGAATTCACAGCTATCATGTGGGGGTTCCCACTGAAGAATTATACTGTCCTCTCCCACATCATCAGGTTTGGCAGAAACATTGAGTGGTGGACTGATGCCTAACAGATAAATAAAAATAGATAAATAGATGAGTAAATAAACAGATAGATAAATGAATGGATGGAATTGTAAATAAAAACAGATGGATGAAATAAAATCAATGAAAGAAGAGATGAATGAATAATAAAAGAAGAAATGGATGGATGGATAGAAAATAAATGAATAATGAATGAATAAATGAATGGATAGATGGGTATATGAATGAATGATTGAATGCATGAATCTGAGTTTGTCTTACTTCACACTAGATCATTTTTATTCTAGTCAATCCACACCTGATTGTTAGTTTTTACTTTGAGAAATTTAGCAAAAAAAATTGCTATTCCTTAGAGTGCATATGTAACATGTACATATATGTATAGCTACATATGTACTTTAAATTTATAGAACACAAGGACATGCATGAATATTATTGAGAAACTATCATAAATTAAAACATAGTTATCTGCAGAGCAATAATTATTGTATTTACAAAGGCACATCTTTAAAATTACAGTGTTTATTTTTTGATATCTAAAAAAAACTCTTAGAAGCTGGGGATGCCTGGTTAAATCATGGTTGCATAGGAATATTGGATTTGAGTCTTGACTCTGCTCCTTCCTAACTGAGTAAGGCACTTGTCCACCCAGCCTCACTTTCCTCATCTATCAGAAAGGGTTGATGCTGGTGCAGCCTTGCTGTGTTGTTTTGAGAAAAGTATGTTGTAAACCTTAATATGCTCTAAAGAAATGTGATCTGCTGTTTCCTTAAGGGTAGCATTGGTATGCTTTTTTCTGGAAGCTGTGCTGTGAAAACTGAGTTTAATAGGTTAGCTCATTTCCTTAGGGATTCCCATGCTTTACTTTGTGGTTTTCAACATGTCTGAACATTTCTCTCTATGCTATTGCACCTTCAATATTTTCTTTAAAAGGGGGGTGGGAGGCTGGATTTGTTTCAGAAATCTTCCAATTAGCTCTTAGACACAATCATCAGTTATATAGCTTATATACTTTGGCATTTTAATGGATTCATCTCAACAATGAGAGTACTCTCTATATATGCAAATCCATGTGTGTGTTCTCATCCTGTGGAAATAATGCCTTTGCCTTTCCAAAGGTACTCCATAGAAGGTCTATCCAATGTGCTAGGTATCTTGCTCTGGTTCTGTTAACACGCCAGCACTTAACACAGTGCCTGGCAAATAATAGGTACTTAATAAATGTTTATTGATTGATTACTGATTGATTGAATTTGCCTGTCTCAAAGCATGTTGTTTGTTTTTATTTTTTATTTAGATATGTTCCTGTATTCATGCCTCAACTTTATCTATAAAAACCATAGTTCAATTGCTTTTCAAAACCGTTAATACCATGCAGAAGGTCAAATTCCAGGGTTCTCCCTCTAACTAGGAACCTAGGAATCATACTGTGGGTAAGCCCTGTAGTCTAAATGTCCCAGTATTCAAGTCAAGTGGCATCCTGTGGGAACTATATTTCTGCCTGAGCATTAGAAACATTTTAGAAGAATATAGGAGGTACCCAGTAATTCTGGTACTGTCAAGTTTACTACAGTGACAAGAAAGGGGATGCTAAAAAACTGGAAACTAAGTGGGTGCCCATCAATTTAAGTGGCTGAACAAATTATTGTATATAAGTATAATGCAATATAATTATTGAGGAGAAAGAAAGTTTCCAAGATAAATGGAGAGAATTTTATGAACTGCTAGAGTGACCTGAGCAGAACCAAAAGAATAATTTGTACTATAACATCAATGTTGTAAAGATTTAAAAAATTTTGAAAAACTTAAAAAAATCTGAGGAACTAAATGATCAAACACGATTCCAGAGAACTGATAAAGGAGAACATTGGCCACCTCATGACAGAGAGAGGATGAAATAATATGTAGAATAAGATAAGCATTTTTGGATGTGATACATGTGGGAATTTATTTTGACTGTGTTTGTGTGATACAAGGGTTGTTTCTTTTCTTTCATCCCTTCATCTCTCCCTTCTTTCCTTCCTTTTTTCCTTCCTTCCTTTCTTTCTTACTTCATTCTTTCCTTCCTTTTCATTAAGTGGGGTGACGTAGTGGGGAAATGAATATTTTAAAGTAGAAAAAACTATATAGGCATCTCATCCCCCACACACTTAATACTAGTTAGTTGTAAGTGTCACCTAGTAGCTATAAGCATGTACCATGTGCGTACCCTTGCACATGCACATGTATGCACACACACACACACAATAACAAAGTAATTTTCCCACAAATATCAGTTTCTTGAAGGTGCCAGCCTCTTTTGGTTGTGTCTTTGTCATGCTAGCACTTAGCACAGTGCACGGTATGTAGTAGGCAATTAAGAAATACTTGTTTTATTGCTGTTGCTCATACTTAATCCCTGTGGACCTTAGGCTTCCTTATCTCTAAAATGAAGTAGTTGGACTGGATGATCTCTGAGATGTCTTCTATTTTCCCTGAGTTTAGAGAATTGATCAATAATCCTAAAAAGTGAACATTCCAAACTTTGGTGGCTACCTCTTGAAGTTGAGAATTGGGGGAGGGGGAGTCTCCAAGTCAGTGCCCCCTGTCCAGTGGGAGGCAATTCTCCAAACAGCATGCTTCTCAGAAGAGTCCTAACCCCATAAGAATGCTGTCTGTGTGCATGCTAACACACACACACACACAAACACACACACAGACATGTTCAAAAATTTTAAAATCCCCAAATTCACACATAATATATTCAATATAAAATTCAATATAAAGGTACGGCACTTAGAATAGTAGCCCATGTTCTATGTTTTCAATAGTACTCACTTAAAAGTTATTTTAAAAGATTCAAATAATTACATTTTTATTCTGCTCACTGAACATGGAGTCTCTTCCAAAGGCACATTCCAGATGATTAGAATATTTCTGATTACAGGTCCTAGGATGAGACTGCCACCTACTGTTAAACTGAGCATATTGCATGAGAAAACAATCAACCAACTAAAACTAGCAAGTCAAAGACCCATCGGACATTGCAAATACCAAACTAGTGGGGACGGCCATAAATCTGATGTTACAAAAAGAACGATATGGCCACTATTAAGATTTTTATGATTTTTACATACTGAAGCTAAGAGTTTTGTAAGATTTATGACAAGATTAAATTGGGCTCAGGAGAATATTTAAATAATTTAGGGAAATATGATTCAATTTTGGATTTAATTACAACCCAGGGTTGAAATTTTAGTGAAACATGCAAGAAAAAATTAACTGAGAATACTAGTTGCATCTTTTTAGATGAAAAATGACTAAATTTAGACCAAAATTACATTTTAAATTTATGTTCTCCAACACCAATCTAGGACATATTTTTGCTACCTGTTATGGTTAATATTGGTTTCTCAAGGCAGCTTAAAGATCCTTTTTCTGCAACACTGAAAAGATAGATCAGGTACTGGTGATAAGGTTTGAGGTTTCCTATTATTGTTGTTGTGTTGACTTTTTCCACTGACAGTGCTTCTGACTTATTGGCTTTAGTATCCAAAATGGTCACAAAGTAATGATGGAAAGAGGTGCTTGAAAAATCATCAGGTGGATCCCAGTGCAAAAATATCTCCACTGGTGTTACTCGTGTCACTATCAAATTTTTTGCTTGTAATGGACCTAAAAGAAAGGAAATGAAATGTTTTAAAAATTCTGTCTAACAAATAGATGTGTTTGAACAAAATCGATGAAGTGATTTTCATTTATTTAAGTTTGACAAGAAAAAACCCTAGTGAGGAATCCTTTATTTAAGTTAACAACTCAGTATGCTCTCAATTGAAATGTAGTTTATGCAAATGGTCATTTCCAGATGCCCCCCTCCCCAATCTGATATCAATTATCACGTCCTAACATATCACTAATTTTTATGCATTTGATGTTTTCCTCTTAGATCTATGAAATTAATATAATTGTTAATTCTAGTTAAATATATTGGATCAAAAAGTACTGATACTTAAAGTTCAAAATAATCTTTATATTTTTTGAGTAAATGATGTAGGCTTGTAGATATTTTGATATCCAAGTTTGTGGGACCTGCCTGAACATATGGTTTATGGACATACCCTTTGAGAACGCCTTCTCACAATGAGGCATCAGAATAGAATTTTAGTAGAGGAGATTTCTAAAGTTATGCCTTACCAAATTATTTCTTGAGTGGGGAGGAGGGAGAGAGCTCTCTATTCCCTCATTCAAAATGGCATTGTTATTCTTTCATGTTTCAAAAATGAAACAAATACATCAAGAAGAAAAACCCAGATCTAAGCAAAGAATTAAGTTCTGAGTGGACTGGACACAGTCAACATTGTTTTTTTTTTTAAATAATTATAATTAATAGATCTGCTAAGTCCAGAGAGCCAAAGGTGGTATTGCCCCACCATATGGATCTATAATTCCTTAAAGATGGGTACACCCTTCAATAATAAAGGTTATAACCCTTCAGTAACTTGGTTGACATTGACTCAAGGTTTGCTATGACTGAAAACTTGATCACCTTGGGTGCCAACCTAGTGATGATCCTAGCTAAACTTAGCTAAGCTGGTTCTTACACAATAGTCACTATATCCATACTCTAAGCTTTTCACCTTAGTAAGACCTCTCAGACTTTGTGATCTACCTATGTAGTTTTCAAGAATCCCAGCTCACTTCCATTCCACATGCAGCATCGCTATAGAACATGACTGCATTTTCATGAATAGAAATGTTATTTCGATTTCTTGATTTATTAGCCACATTTTTATGTATTCTTAATTTGTTCAGATGTCCTAACTGAGTTATTTTCCAATAGTATTTTGTATAGCAAAAAGGCATTATTCTTATAGTCTTTCCCATTGCCTCTTATCTCCTTTGGGACCTTGTTTCATCAATTATTCTTACTTTCTCTTATACCTTTAAGTCTTTGTCTCTCTGCCAACTCCTTTTCCAAAATCTACACACATAGTTATGCCTTCCTTGATCTTAAAAATAATTCTTCACCTTTTCCCCCATGCCTTGAATGTGCAACCTTCTCACCTCTTCCTGGTAGAATCTTTGGCTTCCTTCAAGACTCATTTCAAGTGAATGCCTAAGAATTCCTGTAGAATTCTTGAAGGAAGGGGGTCTGTTTGGTTTTTGTTGTACTCTTTGCAGTACGCCAACACAAGGAAGTCGCACAGGAGTCACTAACTTCATAACATCTTGTTACTCCTGCTCAATACTTAATTTCTGTGGACTTCTGCTTCCTTACTAGTTACATGATTGGACTAGATGATCTCTAAGATCTCTTCTAGCTCTGTAATTCTGTGACCTTTGAATTAGCCCCTCCACTAAACCTATTACAGTTCCTTTCAGTTTTCCTAGAAGACTTTCCAAAAGGGAGCTCTCCATTCATAGCCTTCATATCCTTATGACACACTAACTCCTTAATGCCTAAAAATCTGGCTTCTAAAACATCATGTTCCACAGCTACCAATCTAATGACATTTTCCCTGTTGCCTCTTCTCATGGTTAACTATCTTTTTGCTTCTTAAAACTTTATCTTGTCTTTGCTTTGAAGATATTATCCAGCCCTGGTTCTCCTCTTTGACCTTAGCTTCTTACTTTGTGGAGTGAACTTCCCACCTCATAAATGTGATCGCATCCCATCGGTTATCAGTCTTCTTTTCTCCTCTATCTGCTCTATCTTTCTTAAAGATCTCATACTCTCTCCTGGTTTTCTCTATCACTTCTACAATGATGACTCTCAAATCTGCAGGAGTGGAGTTAGGAAGAAGTTGTGGCATGATAGCTAAGTCCAGAGAATAACTGTTTTGAGGCCCTTCCCCAAAATGGAGTTCCAAGAAGAACTCACCAGTGGGAGAAACAGAGTGTGTATGGTATGGTATGGTATGGTATGGTATGGTATTGTAGGACAGGGTATAGTATTGTATGGTATTGTCTTGTGTTGTGTTGTATTCCATTGCATTGTATTGCATTGCATTGTATAGTGTTGTGTTCTGCTGTGTTGTGTGGTATATAAAGAAAGATAATGGATGACAAATACCAGACAGAGATTCAGGAAGACCTTAATTCAAATTCTCCCTCAGACATTAGTAAATTATTTAACTGCCCTCAGCTTCAGTCTCCTCATCTTTAAAATGAGGATATTAATAACACCTACCTCATAGGGTTGTTATGAGGATACAAGGAGATAATACAGGCAAAGTACTTTGCAAACCTAAGGCAGTATCTAAATGTAGTTCTTATTATTGTTATTTTTATCCCAAACATATCATTCACCAGCTACTTTTTCCTTTGTTCCTCTTTAGTCCATTGTGCTCCACTTTCTTCTCTATCTACCTTTTTTTTTTACAAGACCTAGCAGTTGAAAGAATGCTTGATTTAGAATCTGAGTTCCCGGATTTCAATCCTATTTATGTCATTTACTACTTATGCGACCACAGGCAAGTCACTTAAAATCAGAGGGCCTTGGTTTCCTTCTCTGTAAAATGAGGCAGGGGTGGGAGGTGGGGGGTGGAGCAATTACATGATCTCAAAGGCCCCTTCTAGCTCTAAAGCTGTGATCCTAAGTCTCCCTTACTCCTATCCTCCATTATTACAATATCCTCTGAAATTCTAAGGCACTTAAAAAGTTGTGCCAGAAGTTGAGCCTCACAGGCCTCTTTCATAGCTCAAAGTCATATGATGTAATGCCTGTTTGTTCAGACAAATAGGTAATCAGATTAAGGAGTCTTTTTAAAGAAAAACAAAGTTTTTTATGGCAATTGTATAAAACAAATATAAAAGTGGAACTTGTTGCCATTCATTCATTCATTCAAACAATCAAAAATCACTTATTTTGTACTAGATACTAGGAACAGAAAAACTTCTGGTCTATATCAGGGGTAGGGAACTTGGCGGCCTCAAGGCTGCAGATGGTCTATACCATTTGCTTAATAGTTTTACTAATCTTATATCTATGTCCTCAGGCTTCATTTAGATTGTCAACCCATTGAGAGAAGAAAGTTTTTGTGCACCCAGCACCTAACACAATGCCATACACATAGTAAGCGTACAAGAAATCCTTGTTAATGTTGTTGGTGATCTCTTAAATATTTACAGAATAATATTCCTTGTAACTTACGTGTCTCAACTATCAGAACTGGACTTAAGACAATCTGGGCTTCCCTTGGGCTCTTTGCTAAGAGTAAAAATCTATAAAGTTGTCCAGCAGAAAGTTGCATGACTGTTTTTTCAGTTGAATTTAGAGGCAAAGTCTCAAAATACTGTCCATTAGAATTTTCCAAATAATATTTAATGACCAGCTTATATCCAAATTTCATCCATTTTTTCAAACTTTTCCAACCAAGGACAACTTGGGTCGTTCCAATATCCTTCACGTAGAATACAAAATTCTCTGGTAATGAAGGTACTGGAAGATATAGTTTTGGAAAACAGAATTCATTAAGCTTTTAGCAATCATAAATAATACTATTTTAAACATTAAAATAGTCAGATTAATTAATGGTTATATGGAAGAATGTGAATAAAAATAATTACATTCATATTCACAAATATATGGCAATGGGACATAGCAGAAAAACCCTGTAAAGAAGTAGTTAGATCCAGTAGCATTTTGCTGCAGAATATAGCAGTCTGTTTCGTTCTTTGGTAGCAGTGGAAAAGAAAAGATTTCATCTTTCTTAAGGCTATAATAAGATCCATCAGTCCACAAAGGGTGACCTTCTTCTGCAATAAAAGGTACAAATTAATTAAACCAATTTAAATGTAAATTGGGTATTGTGTTTTCACTTAAGACGTGTTCTAAACCATACACTTAAACTATCTCATTCAATCCTCCAGCATATTTCCCCTCTGTACTCTTTTCCCTCCCACACATATACCTGTACCCTCAGCCACTAAATAATTCCCAGGTGCTCTACAATACTATTATTTTAGGGCAACCAAATCATTCTGTATCTAAGTAATCAATTCACTCACAATAAAGGATAACACATCACTCCATCTTATCCTGTTCCATCTGAGGAATAACACCGATGGACTTTACCATAGATGGTTCTTACAAGTATGCAGAACATCTCTAGTAGTTCTTGTGATCCTTGTGAAGGCAGTAAGATATATTGGAATACACACTGATCCTGGAGTCAGGGAATCTGGGTTCAAATTCTACTCTGACATTTACTTGTGTAACTTTGGGCAAGTAATTTAACCTCTCTGGGTCTGGATCCTATCTACAAAATGTGAAGTTTGGACCAAATGGCATCTGAAGTTGCCTCTAGATCTAAAATGCTCCTTCTCAAAAGACTTTTAATTTGATGCCTAAACAATGACAAACTTAGTACTGGAAGGGCTCTTGGGGTTTTTCTTGCAGAAGTATCAAACTTGTAGCCTGCAGACCCATAAGTGGCCAGCAAAATCAGATTAAACCAGATTAACATGTAATTGGGAAATGTTTAACAAAATAAATAATAGAGCATAGATAATGCTAATTTGTGGTTTTCCAAGTCAATATATGGCCTGTGGTGTTCCCTTTCTAATCAAGTTTGAGATCAGTGATTTCTAGTCTACTCCTTTATCTATCACTTACTGTCCAGTAAGTGCTCACTCTGAATTCAAATGCAATATGCCATCATACCTCCTCTAATGGGCAGCCTTTCCTGCAGCACTTCTTAAACTGTGGGTTTTGATCCCCTATGGGGTCATGAAAAATTTGGCAACAGTAAAAGTTTTCTGAATACGCAACAATCAAAAATTAATTAAAAATCAGATGCGTAATGAATCAATGGTTGTTTCTTTGGTTTTGGTTTTGGTTTTTTGTTTTGTTTTTTTCCTGGAAGCACTTTCCCATGTTGCATCTAGCAATTTCACTGCAGCCTTGGTTCTGGACACAACGCACGCACACTTTGCACTGGGCATGCCCTCAAGCCTTGTAGCACCAACAAACGCTACCAAAAGGCATGAGTGGAAAAAGTTTAAGAAGCCCTGCTTAAGGCACAGGTAAATATATTTATGCATAGTGATATTAAATGTTATGTAATGTTAAGTGATATTAAAACCACCTGTTCTATTTCCCTTTAATGGTATCAAAATTATATCTGAAAATCATATAACTATAAATAGTATAGTTATATGTTATAACTATAAATAGTATAGTTATATAACTATAAATAGTATAGTTATGTATTATAACTACAAATATATAGTTATATATTATAACTATAAGTTTTGGAAATGGAAACAGCTAGGTGGTGCAGTGGATAGAGTGAGAATCCTAGAGTCGGGAAGACCTAAATTCAAATCCTGTCCCAGACACTTGCTAGTTGTATGACACTGGGCAAATTACTTAATGACTGTCTGCTTTTGCTTCCCCATCTGTAAAATGAGAAAATCACATCTACTTCCCAGGATAGTTGTAAAGATCAAATGATGTAACATTTAAATATTGCATTTAACATGCAAACCTTAATGCACTACATAAATGTTGTTGTTGTTATTATTGGCAGCTGCCCAAATCAAGGCCAACCCTTCTATTTCTCTGTGCCCTGATGCCTCTCAAAGTAGATACTGACTATATCAAATATTGCCAGGTATGAAAAATAATGCATATACTGACCTTTATATCATTAAGACCAGTCCAACTTATTATTTGGTTGGCTTTCCTGAGATAAGAATATATAAATTTCTTTTCCTCTTCATTTTTTATATCAACAAGATGTGCTGAATGCAAAGGTATATTACAGATTTTCTGTGCCACATTCCATGGCTGGCTGTCTTTGCTAATTCTATAGCAATTACTTTTTAATGCAACCCATTCTGGTGGGCAGGACCCTGAATATAAAGAAAAGCAGCAAATTTGTAAAATCTTTACAAGGGTAACAGTTATATAACTTTTCCTAATCTCTTAATATGAAGTAAATAGTCACAAAAACCTGTGAGAAACAAAAACCATAAGTTACTGTATATTTTCCATTGTTCCTGTGCAAATAGAATTCTTAAAACTGATTTTGGGCAAGTATTCAAAGAATTTTCCAAGTTCAAGCATTATATAGTTTATTAAAAGGATGAGTTCTTTTCTGAATGGACTTTCATTTACATATTCCCCACATTTTTTTACTCCAAGTGATTGTTCTTACTTTGTTTTTCTCCTTAACAACTTCTATGGGAGTTGAAAATTGGCTTTAAATATTTATACATAATTCTCATTTGCCTCCCAATGAAACCCAGGGTCTCCCCAGCTCTGAGAGGTGAGCTATACTTAGCTTGCTCAGTACTAGGCTGCTATGACACTTCTTGGCCATCTCTTCAACATGTTGCTTTCTGTGTATACCCTACCTCTTCTCCTTCCTTCCATCACCCCTTTCTGTATTGTCTTCTGCCATTAGAATATAAGTCCCTCGAGGAGCAACTGTCTTGCTTACTTGTATTTATATCTCCAGGGGTAAGGGCTTAATAAATCCTCTATTTTTTCTATCTATCTATCTATCTATCTATCTATCTATCTATCTATCTATCTATCTATCTGTCTATCTATCTATCTGTCATCTGGGTAGTTGGCTAGTTAGCTAGTGAATTATCCCTTTTTCATTTTAGAGAGCAAAAAGATAATGTTCCCTATGATATTTTTCTTGTTTGTTTTCTTTCATAATTTTTTTCTTGCCCTAATACAGTGTAATTCAGATTTGTTCACTTCTCCGATAATCAGTTCTGCCTCTTCAGCCTTGCAATCCACATAAAAAGCTACCCTAAACTGGGTACAAATACCAATCAATGAGGCACATTTCAAGTTGCTCAGCACCCACTCGCCTCTCTCATGTTAGCACAATATAACAGGAAACACAAGAACATAATTTTCTTCTCTTCTTTTGAAGTGGAAGAAAAGAATCAATGAAAAAAAAAAGGTTTCACTTCTCCATCATTATCACCTCCTTATCTATTCAAACTACTTTGCTAATTTCCTTCGTGTTTTTTTTTTTACTAATTCACTTCTACAAATTAGATTACTTCATATAATATCATTTGGCCTGTTTAACCAAGGTAAATTAAAAAAGAAGAGTCAGCATATCTCCAATGGAATAATACTTAAGTATGATCCTAAATAGATATATAAGAAATAGCCCAGAATATTTTCATTACTTTCTTCAAAAAAGAAAAAAACTGTTCTGGAAAGTAATTTGGAACTTTGCAAAGAAAGTGTTGAAAATATCCATACCCTTTGACTTAGCAATGTCACTGCTAAACTACACTCAAAGATCAAAGATACACCAGAAAGCATAATGGAAGTATCCCACAGATTGCATATTTGTAGTAGTAATTTTTGTAACAGCAAAGAACGAGAAACAAGGTAGATTCCCATCATGAAAATATCCAGCTGGAAGAAAAATATAATTAAATGTCACTGTACCTTAAAAATGACAGCTATAAAGAACATAGAGAAGTGTGGGAAGACTTACACGAACTGATGCAAAGGCAAGTAAGCAGAACCAGGAAAATAATTTACAACCAAAAAAATGTAAATGGACAGAAAAAAGAGAAAAAAAGTAAATGTTGGGTAATTATAAAGAACAGAGTTGGCACTGAAGAAGAGATGAGAAAATATACTTCCTTTCATCAAGTAGAAATTTGACTATGAATGTTGAACAATGAACAGTGTCAAAGTCTATAAACATATTGATTAGTTTTGCAGGCTTGCTGTTTTGTTTCTTCTTTTTTTTCAAAGCGATGATTGTTTAGGTAGGGGAGAGAAAGGAATACATTTAGAAATGAAATGATGTAATAATGAAAGATATCAATAAGAAAATTGCTAAAATCAGTTATCAAACATCTAATCAAATCAAATCAAAGAGCCACGTGCCTGTTTCAACATGAATATCCAGCCTCTGAAACACATTTACAAAATCCAAGTGCAGCTGTTTAAATTCAAATTTGAAAATGTATGAGGTTGAAGGTTCCAAATGGCCCCATTCATAAAACATTACATTGTTTTGTATGCTTTGAGATGAATTATTAAGAGATATTGAAACTGAAAAGTCATGGGGCAGTGTAGTCCAGTTAAAAGAAACACTTGTACTTGTCACAAGGACTTTAATGTTGTTATTTGAGATCCCACCTGAAAATATCAAGGAAAAGAATTAATCAACAAAAGGTAGCAAAAGAATAAAAAGGCCAAATAAACATATATAAAATCATAAGAGATCATACTTCAGTGGGAAATATTTTTCATTAATTTACAAAATAGGAACTTGATGAAGAATGTTAATTAGGATATGAACAAGCTGAATGAGTTCACACAATTACAGAATTTAAGAATTGAAATCGACCTCAAGTTTAATTCACATCTGAAAGATATCCTCACAAAAACATCCCTGATGAGTAGGCATTCAGTCTCTGCATGAAGACCTTCAAGGAGAGAGAAGCCACCACTTATCAAGGCAGCCTATTCAACCTTTGAACAATCCTAATTGTTAAGAATAATCTTAATAAAAATAATAGCAAAATCTGGGTTGCTCTTCAGTTTTCAAAGTGATTTTACATATATTACCTCATTTGATACAACATTCTTATGAAGTAGTTGCTATAATTATCTCTATTTCACAGATGAGTATATTAAGGCTAAGAGGAATTAAAGGACTAACCTGGTGTCACAAAGTTATTAAGTATATAAGGCAAGATTTAAACACAGGTCTTCTGATGCCAAGTCAAGCATGTTATGCCACCTTTCCCTGACATCAAGTATACATTTTTCACTTTTCCAGGTTCTGCCCTCTGGAACTGAAAAGAACAAGCCTAATCCTTCTTCTCTGATACAGCCCTTCAAATATTTGAAGATAGCTCTCCTGTACCCCTTGAGTCTTCTCTGGGCTAGAGATTTCTAGTTCCTTTAGCCACTCCTATATGACATGGACTCAAGGCCTTTCACCATCCTGATTACCCTCATTTTGGTACTCTTCAATTTATCAATGTCCTTCTTAAAGATGGGTAGAGAGGTGGTGCCCATATCAAGACGGAATACTCCAGATATAGTCTGACTAGGTCAGAATAGACAGCAACTCACTCGCTTACTCCTGAATTTAATCCTGCCTAATATCATATGAGCTGTTCTAACTACCATGTGACACTGCTCACTCTGTGAATCTATAATCCTCTAAAATCCCCAGATCTTTTTAGATACATTGCCTTCCAACCTCCATCTTCTCTGTTTCTAAGATGTTAGAAACATCTTATGTTTTTGATTTCATCTTAATCACCCAATGTTCTAAACTCTCAAGATCTTTTTGGATCCTAAATCCTTTAACCAGCAGGTTACCTGTGCCTCTAGCTTTGTATGACATGTAAATTTGATGGGTATGTCATCTATGCCTTTATCCAAGATATAGATTAAAACATTAAAACAGAAAAGGACCAAGCAGAAATGCCTGGAGTACTCCACCAGAGACCTCTTGCTATGTTGACATTCACAAACATTCTTGAAACCATTAATGATCATTCTTTTGAATTCAGCCATTCAAAAAGGTCATCTGTCTCAGGAACATTTAGAAGTTCTCACTATATGAAAGAGAATCTCTCCATGGTATTCAATAAGAAATATGTATGTGTCTATATACATACATGTCAATAGATAAATGATAAATAGATCATACATACATACATACATACATACATATATATACACATGAATAGAGAGATAGTAAATAGATGAATAGGTAGATGGAGAGAGACAGACACATAGATGGATAATGAGATAGACATACAAATAGTTGAAAAAGAGAGACATGATAGGTAGATAGATGGTAGATACATATATATATACATAGATGAATAGAGAGATAGTAAATAGATGAATAGGTGGATAGAGACAGATACATAGATGGATAGAGAGACAGACATACAGACAGTAGAAACATAGATAGATACATATATACATACACATATGCATGCATACATATATATGTATGTACATAAACTTATAGATCAAGAGGATTTGAACATTTTAAATATATATTTTTTTAAATTTTTATGTCTCCCTAAGGGTCTGGCACAGTAGCTTGCATAGAAGAGATATTCAGTAAATATTTGTGGAAGGTTGACAGACAGCAAGTTAGAGATAGAATGACATGGGTTCAAATCCTGTCTCAGACACTTACTACCTGTGTGACCCTGGGCAAGTGACTTAACCTCTCTATGCCTCAGTTTCCTCATCTGTAAAATGAAGGGCTTAGGTTCAATGTCATCTAATGTTCCTCCCAGCACTAAATCTATGAATCCATTAATACTATGACCTTGACATCTGCCCATACTCAGGACCCTTGAGGCTAATGCTATATTGCATCTGTAGAGAATAGATTCTAGTTTGGCCCCAGGGTGGATATCATACCTCCCTCTATTGAAGCTGTAAAGTGAGAATCCTTGTGTCTTAGCGTCACTTGTAAAGGAGCGTGGCAGTGAGGCATGGTGAAAACAGCCCTGCATTTGTAAATTGGAGGTCCTGGGTTCAAATCCTCACTTTGTAACTTAATACCTGTGTGATGTTGGGCAAGTTATTTTACTGCTTTGGGTCTCAGTTTTCTCATCTATAAAATGCAGGGTTGAACTACGTAATTCCTAAATCTCTTTTAACACGAAATCTCTGATCCTTTGAATGCTGAAGTAGGAAAGACTCCACAGGTGACATACTAGACTATGTTGAAGGTCTCTTCCAATTCCATGATGCTGTGATTTCACAATCTTTTATACACCATTCTCCCTTTTATAATTTATATCAAACAGAGAAATTTGAAATCTTTTTATTGATGCAGTTTAGAATCTCTTAAAATACAACAGATTGAGGCTGTCAGAAATTTGAAAGAATCACTATATATTTATTTCAAACAATTAGCTAATTATTCATCAAATAAATAACAAAGTTGACTGTCAAACATGCCTGAAATCTTAGTTCCTATATGGTTGAATTTGATATACTATCACAGCTAAATGTGGCATTACTTACATGTCCTGAAGGATTTTGCACTTAAAATTTCCCCATTTCGTACTGACTGTATAATGACGTTATATTCTTCATTTTCCTCTATTGTTATTGTAGATTTCTGAAGCTTGTGTTGTTCTGCAGAAATGTTTTTGACATTCTAGAAATTGATGACATTAATTTCCTTAGAAAAAAGTTTACTTAAGAACTAACCTCAATAACAATTTAATACACGAACTTTTCATTCACTTTATAAGAATTATGGGAAGGGGAATAGGTTATATAAGGCATAATCTTATTACCAAAAATTCAAGTATATTATATGCTACATCATTTTGAAAAACCCAGTGAAATAAATGTTCAGCATATCACATCCATATAGAAATATGTACAATATTAGCTTTACTGTTTGAGTGAACCCATTAAATTAATTATTGTGATGTTTTATGAACATATTAGTTGTTTATGTTTATATAACCATATTTCTAAAATAGAGATATTTTAAGAATTATAACAAGAGGAAGCAAGATGCATGGCACAGAGAGTCAAATTTGTTGTTATAAAGAACTGAGCAGTACTGTTTCAGGGCTGAGGTGAGGAATGGGGAGGAAAGTACCTTTTAGTGCCCTAGGCAACTCTCTAAAATTATCAGTGGCAAAGCCCATGCTGTTCTGAATTGGTGGGTAGGTAGCTCACAGGAAATCCAATAAATACCAATTCCAATAAATGCCAATGAAATCATAAGTCTGGTTCAAAGAAAGGAGGGAGGAAGGGATGATTAAAATAAAGTCTATGTTGAATGTTTTTCCATCATCCAGCATCATAGATTCAGACCTGGAAGGGACCTTAGAGGTCTTCTGATCCAACCCACCATTTGATTACAGAAGGAATTGAGGCCTAAAGAGATAAAACCCTTGTCCAAGGTCTCACAACCAGTATGTGTCAGACGTGGGATTTGAACCAGGCTCCCTGGCTCTGCCTTCATTCTCCTTCACCATGCTGCTTTGTTTAAAACAAATTCACCCTACACTAAACACTTAAGAAATCTAAAAGACAGATGCCTTACTTTTTTATTGAAGTCTTTGGTTGGTTGATATTTTAAAAAATAATGTTGAGGCTTTTCTCCTTTAGGAAATTCACTCCATTCAGCAAAAATGGTTGCAGGTTGCTTTTGTATTGGCCCACAATATAAACTCTTAGAAATCTGCACCAGAAATAAAAGCAATGCTGACAAAATGAACAAAATATATTCTCAATTACTTAATTATTAGCAAAATGAGGGAAGTGAAGCCTAAAACTCTTTTGTAAGGAGTCAATAATCTCCTTTTCAGGCCTTGGAGTGAATATTATCTTGGTTGTATAAAATATGTGGTGTCCTCAGAGATGGTCCTCCTTCTTTGTTAGTAGGAAGGACATCAGGAAAGAATGAAGAAGGGAAGAAAGATACAGAAAAATTCTTCACTATTGAGGTCTAGTAGAAAATGAAGAGAAGAGTCTTATAAACTAAAGACCTAAAGACCACCAACATGGCAATAGCTGCAGACTTGTCTTTGAATAATAGTTTAATAAACTCATAATTGGGTAGATCTTGATCTTTCAGTCTGCTGTGTATACTGCCCACAAATAGCCTAAGCCAGGGGTTCTTTACCTAGCGGTCCTTGTATATATTCCAGGGGATCTATAAACTTGGATAGGAAAAAAAATTACGTCAGTATGTTCACTAACCTCTAACTGAAATTGAGTTTCTGTCAATCATTATTTGAGGGGAAAAACATTATTCTGAAAAGGGAGCCACAGGCTTCACCAAACTATTAAAGAAGTCCTTGACACAAAAATTGCAAAGAATGGCTGGTCTTGCTGAAATTGCAGAATGAGGAAGAGAAAGAGATAACCACAGGTTTACCTAATGTCCAAAAGGAATGTGCTAAATAAAGACATTAAGTCCAGTAGGGTATGGTGAAGTGCACCTGAAGGCCCCATTGCCCAGGAGGCTGAGGCTGATGGATCACATTAGCTCAGGGGTTCTGAGCTGAAGTAGGGCTAAAGCTAATTGGGTTTCCACACTAAATCCTGTACCTATATAGCAAGCCCCCAAAAGTGAGGGGTCACCAGCCCACCTAAGAAGCAATAAACTGGTCTACATCAGAAACTGAGCAAGGCAAGACTTCCATATTGATCAGGAGAGGAATTGGGCTGTGAGTGGCTATTGCAATTCTAGACTATGAGAAATAGGGGGGCTCATTCTCAAAAAGAAAGAAAGAAAGATGGAAAGGAAGGAGGAAAGAAAGAAGGAAATAAAGGTGGAAGGAAGGAATGAAAGGAAGATGGAAGGAAGATGGAGCAGAGAAAGGAAGGAAGGAAGGAAAGAAAAGGAAGGAAGGAAGAAAAGAAGGAAGGAAGGAAGGAAGGAAGGAAGGAAGGAAGGAAGGAAGGAAGGAAGGAAGGAAGGAAGGAAGGAAGGAAAAGAGGGAGAGAGGGAGGGAGGAAGAAACAAGCATTTTTTTCCATTGTTCATAGTGTTTGCGCATTATTGTTTTAAGCTTTAATATCATCAATGATGTATAAACTTGAGGTTCATAAAGCTGAGAGGTGATTTGATAGGTCATCAGACTCATGTACCATCTGAGAAGATGACACCCAAACATTTCTACCCTTTCTTTTTAACTTATGATGTGCAATGAATAACTTTTAAAAGACAAGAGACCTGAACAGTCACATCACTTTAAATCATATTTATCTTGGAAATGTAAAATTTTGCTCATATATCCGGGATCAATATAGCTTATTTTATGATTATATCACTATGCTGATGAAATCACAGTTCCTTCACATATATTAATATCAACCGTTAGGGTTGCATGACCTACACTCATGAAGTGGTGAAAGGACATTGCACAGATCAGGAGATATAGAAGTGGAAATGGAGTGCACAACTCATGCGACAACCACAAGGCTAGAGGATGGACAAATGTTGCCTTCAAAACATAAAATAATCTAGAAGAAGCCTTCCCATATATCTGGTGTACCTTCTATGGTGTATCTGTGGAAGAACATGAACAAGAATAATATAGGATGAGAAAGCATGGATGAGTTGCTATCTGCAGAAATGAAGGGATAACCAAGTGAAAGGTGAGCATAGATACAGTAGAATACTGAAAGATCCATTCTGAATGCTCACAGTTCTAATGCCTCCTCACACATGAGTCATTCTCTGATTTCCTCTACCAATTGCTAGTACTATTCCTAAATTGGCTTGTATTTGTGTTGTATCTACTTATATTCATACATGTTATACATTCCTTGAGGGCAGGAACTGTTTCATTTTTGTCTTTGTATCCTCAAAGCCTAACATGGTGCTTAGCTTGTAGTTGATACTTAATAAATGAATTGAAAGATTGAATATGCACAAATTTTGCTCATTTTTTCTGCCTAATCACTTTTATTTATCTTACTCTTCTGTCTTTTTGTGCCCCAGAAACATATCCCTTGGTACATTTACGTTAGAATGTTTTGAGGGAGAAGGGAGAATTCCTGAGTTTTTTGTAGTAGTTGAAGGAAGTAATGAATTTTATTCATTGTTATTAATCATCCCCTGCTAAAGTCCCACTTTAATGCCTCATAGCACTGTTAAGATGACCCTGGATTAGTATCTATACAAGTGGAGAGAATACTCACAATAGTGGTTGGAGAGTTATGCCCAAGTAGATATGAAACCAGAGAACTCTCCCAAAATTGAGAAGAACCCAGTCTCAAATGGCTAATTGTCCTGTTAGGTCCACACAGTGGGTTATGTAGAAGGTCATATGTGTTCTGAACCAAATGAGCCAGTTCTTGATAGGTCCAAAAGAATAGCAAGCACACCATTTATAGCAGGAGAGGCAACATAAAATGGAGGCTTGAGCCCTGGACTCAGCATCAAGAAGACTTGGATTCAAATCCTTCCCCAGACACTAGTTTAGTGACTTTGTCTAAGTCATTTAATGTCTCTGAATCTGTTTATTCATTTCAGAAGTGAGGATAATAATAGCATCTATCTCATAAGGTTGTTGTGAGAATCAAATGAGATCATGTATGTGAAGTACAATATAAAAAATCAGCTGTTACTGTGATAGAGTACCAATGAAGCCTGGAAGCATACTAAACTGGCTAATTATTTTGCTCATAATTCAAAACCAAAGGCCAGTTTATATTTGACACATATTTTCCATGTCTGTTTTGAAAAGCAAAATTGTTTAGACATTTAGCTGACGTGGACGTTGTTAAAAGAACAACCTGTAGTTAAATATTTATTCAATTCAATTCAATAAACATTTACTAAGCTGGAGGTAGAAATGTGAAAAACAGCATAGCCTCTGCCCCAAGCAGTTTACAATCTAATAAGAAGGATAAGACGTTTAAAAAAAACTTGCTTACAAATAAGTGAAATGCAATAAAGGAAAATGAGATGTCCAAAAGTGTTTTAAGAAATTTGTTGAAGGAGAGATCTCTTGAAGCTGAAGAAACTAGTGATTTCCTTTAAAATTCAGATCAAACACATCTTCTACAACAGGCTTTTCTTGATCTGTCTCACCATTACCCCCACCCCCAAATTACCTTATACTTATGTTGCATATATTTTGAATACATTTATATGTGTATGGATCAATGCTATAGAACCCAAGGTCTTTTGTAAAGCCAAGGATAGTTTCTTTTTTGTCATCATATCCTCAATGCCTAACAGAATGTCTGTCAAACAATAGGTACTTAATAAATGCTTGTTGATTGCTTTGGGGATAGTTTCCCCTCCAGAAGGTTCTGGAGCAAAGGCTAGATGACCCTCAGAGGAAATGTATTTTTTAGGTAGAAGCTGGACTAGGAAATGTGTTTTTTAGGTAGAAGTTGGCCGCTAAGGCCCAATTCTATTCTGAGTTTCTTACTTCTTAATGATTCTACGATGTAAACTTCAAAGGAGAGATTGTAGCAGAGAAAATCTGAAAGTGGCAGAGGGAAGCCAAGAGCAAGCTCACTCCTCATGGGACTATGTGCCCAAGACTTGAGATGTCTCTGGAATCTCAATGGCAAGTACAGGAAAGGAAGGCAAAGGATTTTGTGCCTTCAAAAGAAAAGCCAACTTCTATTTAGCACCAGAAATTGAAATGCATATGTAAAAGGCACTCAGAAAGACTATTATGTTGGAAAATCTTGCCTCAAGTTCAGCAATCTGAAGTTTTTATAGCAGGTCTACTAAATTTATAAGCTGATCATTTACATTCAAAATGTTTTCTTCTTTTTACTGTCAACAGAATGAACATACTACTTGATAATAATTATTGCATGCCAGTATAGTTCTTAAGAACTCATGGAAATGTCATTTAAATAACTTAATTCTTCCAAGTGATATAATGCTGCTTCCCATAATTCATCATAAAGTCCAAGTTTTCCTAAAAAGTTAATATTTTTCAGATTTTTCATGTCACTTGGACAACATTTCATTGCTTATTACCAAAGTTGATAGCGGTCTCAAGACTTGTTATTTTTCTAGCATCTCGAGGTCAATAAAAAAGATTTTTGAACATATTTGCTCTGTGGTTAGTTATATATACAGGGTAACCACTTACCTGAAAAATGTATTCAAACCAGAACAGCAGAAGAATTATTTTGTCCATCTGGAAAGAAGTTTTATACAGATCAATTACACAAATGCATTTTTTTAGCTTCAAAATAAAATTCTTTTTGAATTTGGGGGGAGAGATTAAGCGAGTCATCAAGAAAACATGAAACTGATTACTTTCAATTGATGTTATCACCTGGAGATTTAGACTGAATAAATTATCTTTAAATGCATTATATAAGCTGATAACCCATATGATCCACCATTCAAGACATTTAGCAAAACAAGCACTTTCTAACAAGTCACGAACTTTTGCTACTAAAAGCTGTAAAATCAAGTATAAAGGGTAGATAAGTAATAACACAAATTATCAGGCAATTACATACAGAGTTACGTTGTGCTGAGAGAAAGCATTCAAACATAAATTACAGGAAATCTAGCCATACACCCACATGCAGCTACAGGGGAAGATTGTGTGGCAAACATTCTTAAAAGACCATCTTTAGGGGAAAAAAATACCTTATGAATACAATTCAAACTTGAACGATGTTCACACCCAACATTCATTTAAATTCCATTTGTTTCTAAAATTCATCCTATAGCATTAAGAGCATATTTCCTTGGAAACCCAACTTCTTTGGAACCTTAAATTAAGTAGAAAGCTGTAAATAAAGAAAAGTAAACACTACTGTGTTAACCAAACACTTATCATTACTGCAAATACCAGTTTAATCATGACTATCCTCCAGGGTCAGTTTTAAAACAACTTCAAACCCCCCAATTTCTTCCAATTAAATCTTATTTATCCCCTGAGAATCAGATGTTTATCTCCTAAAACACAATCTAGTTAGAAATAAATATCAATACCCCAGGACACAAATTTGTGAACACTAAACCTGGTTCATTTTCTAAACAGATTGGCTATTCATTTGCAGCTAACGTCTAAAAACTGAGTCCTACATATTACAAGTATTTTGAAAGCTTCTGAACTGGAGTCATATTTTGAAAAATTTAGGTGGAAAAAATTCATAGATTTAGAACTGAAAGAGACCAGAGAAGTCATCTAATCTAATCCACTCTTTTTACATATGAAGAAACTGAGACTCCTCCCAAGTTATTAAGTGACTTGTTCAAGGTCACTTAGGTATCTTAGACATAGCTCCTCTGCCTCAGAATCTAGTCCTCTCTCCACTGCACCTCACTGCTTGGGGATGTTCAATGCTTGCTTGTCACTTTAAAAAATATTTTAGTTCAAATTTCTGATTTCATTAGTGTAGGGAAACAAAGGGGTGGGGAAAGAACTTCATCAAAGCATGTGATGTCTGTTCTTGTACTTCTAATCTTAGTTGCCCAGACCACTGAGGAGTTAAAGGACTTGCCTAGGGTCAGTCAACCAGTATGTGTCAGAGGTAAAGTGTGACTCCTGCTCTTCCTGGTTTCAAAGCCATCGCTGCTCCACTGTTGTCTCAGAGAGTCAAAGACAGTTTTGGGGGGAGTACAGAACTTTGATTTCATAGTTGTGGAAAACTCCTTCCATGGAATGCTGATCTGCAGGTGGGCATCTTGCCTGTAATGGATAGTCTTAGAGAGCTGTCTGGGGCACTGAGAAGTTGTGACTTTCCTAAGTTTATGTCGTCATTATATGTCTGACTGCAAGGTCACCCTTCTCAGGCAGCCTTTTTATACTCATGTTACACATAAACACTCGATTTGAATTTAAATCTAAATCCAAATTTCCAAATGATAGAGGCATGCCTCTCTTTCAGAAACAAAGAGCAACCTTCTAAAGTCGGAAACAGTGAAGAAAGATCCTAGTACCATGTCTATAGAGCTGAAACAAACTTCAGAGACCACCTTGTCCTAAAGAAGAAAGAATGTATCTGTGTATGTGTATGCATGTGTTTTTGTGAGTGTAGATATGTGTATGTGTGTATGTGTATATGTGTGCATGTACATATCAGTCAGGAAGACCAGGTTCGAGTTCTGCCTGTGATAGATGCTGGCTGTGAGTGAGCAAATCCTTCATAACTCTAAGAAACACTGTAACTAATTTGCATAGAGAATGCTGAGCTGCATTGCTAGAGGGCACTTTTTTCCTTCTGGAGTTCCTTATACCTGTATATTCACAGGTCCACTCCCCAGCCCTGTTGGTAAGGAAAAGGACTTGAGAAGACAGTGAAAGTGTGGAAGACATGGAAGTCTCATCAGCCTAAGCAGCTGTTCCTGGTCCCACTTTGGTCCACATGCTCACCCTCAGCACCTTTCTCCTATCCTGCCAGTTCCCCAGGTGGGACCAATTTCCCTCTCTTTCTGAGGATCAAGCTAAGCAGGATGATGATCCTCACTCAGCTCCTGTTCTGCTGCCACAGTTTGGGGGAAAAGGGGGAGAAGGTGCAGCTGCTGGGGTTGAGAGAGATTGAGCAACCCCTAACCCCCGCTTTATGTTTCCTTCAAGAGCTCTCCCTGGCTGCGCCATCGAGAGCCTAGGTATCTCCTTTCCTTTACCTGCTTCCTTAAGCTGCCCACTCACCTCAATTCCTGTTCCTTCAGCAGCTGCCTGCTCTGTTTGGGCCATTGCTGCCTCTCTCCCTTTGTTGGGTTAATTAAGGGAAGGTCTCCATGGAGACTGGGAAGCAGCCAGCAAGGAAGAATGAGTAGGAGTTAATGGAAGAAAAAAAATCCACTGACATGAAAAAGAATGATAATCTGGAAGGGGTTGGGGAGAGTACAACATTAGTACCTGATGGAAAGCAGACACATCATATTCAAGGACATGGAAAACTCAAGTAACAGCTAGTTTGGGATTGAGAAGCACAGATCTTTGAATGAAGCCATATGCCAATCTCCAATTCTATCATCAGGAAAAAGGGGGGAAAAATAACCACCTATAACCTGGCTAATAGTTTTGTCCTGAATAGCTGACATTTACACTAAGCTTCACATTTTTACAGAGTGCTTTACTGTTATCTCATATGAGACTCAGTATACTCTTGAGGGGCAGGAATCATAGCTATTATTATTATTCCCATTTTCCAGATGGTGAAACTGAGAGTCAGAAAGGTTAAGAGCATTGCTCAGGGTCAATAACTGAGGTGAAATTCAAGCTCCAAATATTCAGTGTGCAAGCCAAGCTATCATGCGCTCTACTACACTATATCTTGCTGTAAAAAAGAATGACAGTATCATTCTCTATTATCTAAATTAACTATTAGCTTTTTTAACAAGGATTTTCATGTAAATTTTCAGGTGAATTGAATATCATATTCATATGCAATATATTGTATATATTGCATATCATATTCATATGCAATATATTGTATATATTGTATGTTATTTATAAATATATAATTAATATATCTATATAATATATTCTATTTATGTAATAAATATATAAAACATAATCTAATAATATTACTAGAGATAATGTATTCTAATAAAGATAACATATTCTATGCAGAACTAAGCCATTCAACTTTTAGTTAACCATTTTTTTGTTGCAACTCTGAATTAATTCATAATCAGCATTGTAATTGCCTTTTGAACCAAGCAGCCTACACTGTTTGGAGTTTAGGCCAGCCTCTTCACAAGATTTTGTGCACACCACTAGACTAGATTTCCCTGGCTGGTGGGCCAATGTTTATTCATCAGCTCACCAAAAACATGCTCTGAAATTGGCTATCCCAGCCTCTTTTTTGACCATACAGCACACTCCAGTGCTTTGGATTCTTGGAGACTTATAGAGAGGAGGTAATATAGTATGATGGATAAAGGGGAAAACTTTGAAAACATGAAGATCTGGGCTTATGTCCAGCCTTAGACACAGACTAGCTATGTGACTCTAGAGAATCAGAGCCTATGAATTTCCTGATAAGTATGGACTGCAACTGATGTGCCTTTGTATCGACTGAGCCTGAAATATAATAGGTAGTTAATACATGCTTGCTGATTTACTGGTTAAATAATGTTTGGGCACAGTGAGCTTTTGTGCACCAAAAGACAAAATCATAGGTCTGAAATACAGAAAGAGAGAGAGAGACAGACAGACAGGAAGGACTGAAGGAGTTAGGTCTTGTAGGTGATGGGAGAGAATGGGAATTAGTATGCACAAAGTATAGGAGGTTGGCTTTGGCAAAAGAGGAAGGCTATTTTCTCCTCTGAGGGAGAAAAGAGAGGCGAGGAGGATAGGTTTTGAACTTGGAGAAAGTGAGATGAGAGAAACGAGAGAATGCTTAATGAATATCCTCAGCTGAGTACCGCACTAGATATATGTTCTCTGATCCTGGGCCATCTGGAAGAAAGAGGGTCATCCTAGTTCTCAGGAGCTCAGTTTCCTTACCTACAGATTTGGGAGGTTGGATTGAATCATCTCTAAAGTCCTTTGACAGGATTATAGATTTAGCGCTGGTAGAGATAATAAAGGTCATATAACCGCCTCATTTTATAGATGAGAAAACTGAGACCCAGAAAAATCAGTGACTTGTCTAAGACCACATAGGTGATAATGTAGAGATACACTGTTCATTCTTCCTCTCCTTCTCTCTCTCTCTGTCTCCCCCTCCCTCCCTCCCTTCCTCCTTTTCTCTCCCTTCCTTCTCTCTTCTTCTTCCCCTGCCCTCCCTCTCCCTCTTCACTCACACTCTCCTCTCTCTGTCTCATCTCCCTTTGTACTGGATCCTTTCCCTCTGCCTACAAATAGGCTCATCGATCCAAAAGTGTTTTCCTTGAATTTGCCCCCTCAAACTACCACCCTAGATATCTTGTGTCTTTCACAGCTTAACTTCCAGAAGGAGTAGCCTATACTTCCTATCTCCACTTCTCAGATCCATGCTACCTGGCTTTCAACACTCCACCATTTTATTGAAATGGTTCCTTCTAAGGTTATCAAGAATAGCTTTTTCTAAGTCTTTATCTCTGTCTTTATGTATCATTTTATGTGGTTGACCTTTTCCTTAGACATATTTCTTTTTCTCCATGATACTGCCATCTCCTGTGTTTTTCTCCCATTCAATCAATGAAATATGTCTACCTGCTCCTCCTCAGTCTCTTGCTAGTTATATTCCCTTTCAATTCCAAGAACAGGTTTCTCTCTAAAGCTAGAACCTCAGGCATTTTGTTTTCCTTCACTATGCTCTCTGTGCTGGTGATTCTACCAATTGCTATGACTTTAGTGATTGCTAGATCAATATATCTAGCCCCAATCTCTCCATTGCACTTCAGTCTCATATTTGCAACTGTCTAATGTACATTTTCACCTGAATGTCCTGTCAGTGCCTCAAAATTTAAATACCCAAAGTTGAATCTATCAAATTCTTTTCAAACCTGTCCTAATTTCCAGCTTGCCACTTCTCTTGGTCATATAACCATCTTCTTAAGTTACTCCAGGCTTAAAACTTTGGAGTCATCTTTGACTCTTACATTTCCCCCATCCCACTTGTACTTGTACTAGGGAACCATTTAATTTTGTCTTTGTATCCTCAGTGTATAGTGTATGTTTAAAAAATGAATGAATAAATGATCTTCCTGTCTTAAGTCACTCCTGTCAGCCAATTCATCTTCCATACAGCTGCCAAAATGATACTCTTAAAGCATAGGTATGACCATGCCAGTCTTCTGGTAAAAAAATATTCCCTATCCAAACGGAGCCAGATTTATAGAAATAAGAGCCATTCCCCAATTGATAAATGGTCAAAGGATATGAACAGGCTGTTTTCAGAAGAAGACATCAAAGGTATTAATAGTAATATGAAAAAATGTACTAAGTCATTAATAATTACAGAAATGCAAATTAAAACAACTTTGAGGTACCACCTCACACCTATCAGTTTGGATAACATGACAGAAAAGGAAAGTGACAAATGCTGGAGGGGACATGGAAAAATAGGTACACTAATGCATTGTTGTGAACCAGTTATGAACTGGTCTAGCCATTCTGGAGAATAATTTGGAACTATGACCAGTGGGCTGCAAAACTCTGTATACTCTTTGACCTAGCAATCTGCTGCCATCTGTAACCCAAAGAGATCAAAGAAAAAAAGAGAGGAACTACATGTACAAAAATCAAATAGTGGCAAAAAAATTGGAATTTGAGGATATGCCCAACTGTTGGAGAATGGCTAAACAAGTCGTGGCATATGATTCTAATGGAATACTATTGAGCTGCAAGAAATTAAGGGGGTGGTTCCAGAAAAACCTGGGAATATTTTTATGAACTGATGCAAAGTACAGTGAGTAGAATCAAAATAATGTACAGTAATAATAATCCACTGTGAAAGACTTAGTTACTTTGATCAATACAATGATCCATGACAATTCCAAAGGACTGTCATAATAAATGCTAACCACCTCCAGAGAGAAAACTAATAAAGTCTAAATGCAGATTGAAGCTCTTTTCCATTTTTCTTTTTTTTTTGCAACATGGTTAATATGGAAATATGTTTTTATGACTTCAGTGCAGAATGCATATCATGTTGCTTACCTTCTCAATGGATAAAGGAGGGAATGGAAGGAAGGAGAGAATTTGGAACTGAAAATTTTAATGTTTAAAAAAAACTTTAATGCTGCTCTGAAAAAAAATGTTCCTTATCATTTCTGTGATCAAAGAGAAACTGAATTGGCAACACAGCCCTTCATAATCTGGCTCTAGGATACCTTTCCTGGCTTATTAAGTACTATTCCCCATTCACACATTTTACTTTTAAGCCAAACTGGCCTACTAGTCCTTTCTTGTATGTGGCAAATGGTATCTTGACTTTACATAGGCTTTCCACCTGTGCCTGGAATATCCTCCATCCTCACCTCATCCTCCTAGAAACCCTAGCTTCCTTTGCAATTCAGTTCAGGTGCTGCCTCCTACATAAAGCCTTCCCTTATGCCCAGAGCTGCTAGGAACCCATCCCAGGGTTGCTTTGTGTATTTTGTTTTAACTTCATATGTAAGTTTCAGTTCCCTTGAAAGAATGTAGGCTTCTTGAGGGCAGGGACTAATTCATTTTTGGTTTTGGATCCCTGTTGCCTGGTATATAATAGGCACTTGTCATTGTTATTTGATTGATTCTTATTTCCCTAATTCAAATGACACAACTTAAATATCATTTTTGAGGGATTTGCAAATCTGTGACTAAGTCACCTAAGTACTGTCAGTCTGGAAAAAAAGTAAAGTTTGTATATGATTTACAAGCTTGCTATAATCTGCTACTACAAGATTGAAGAGGATTTTTTTTCAAGTATTTTATGTTTAACATACAGTTTCTTAGCCTCTGTCAGAGTCTAAAAAAATTCACATTTGGGGTCTAGAGCAGGAACATGTTTATGTTCTCAATGCAAACATTAAAAAACTCAATAGTATTTTGAACTGAATCAGTGGTACCACCTTTCTACATTTCTTGTGTCATTGTTTCTATTTCTTAGGAATCTATTCCAATTACCTCTTTCAAAGATATTTTACTCATAACTTTCTCACAAAAATAATACTTTCATTAGCGGAGAGGATAGTAGACATGTTGAGCCAGATCTCTTTCACAGCATTAGGGGAAAGTTATTATTACTAAAGAGTTCACAAACTATATTATGTGGAATGAATTATCTGGGGTAAAATAAAACATGGGTTAATAGCCTTTTTCACCCACATTCTCTAAATGTGATACCAAATAATTGGTGGTCTTTCACATGGCTGAAAGTAGATTGGCTTCACTGGTTTTGTTTTTGTTTTTTTAAGTGCAACCTTTCCTATATATTTAGTGTCAACTTTTTTCTCTCACGCATTCACATACCTACATTAAAATCAAGTGATTTCAACAGACCTTTTCCAATGATTATACATTTAAGTGTACCAAATAGGCAATTTTTTTTTAACTTAGAGTATGTCCAGTATATTTAGTATAGTGTTCTTGGCTTTAAGAATTCCCAATTATAAACTGGATTCATTTCTATCAAGATTCTCCTCCCTCTTTTCAACTGGATTAATTTCCCTATCACAAAAACAACAAATATATTTTCTAACATTGTCCTAGCCCCATGGAGGATTGGAATTATTTTCTTATAATATTGGATTATAACACTCATTATATTTGTAAATAAGTCATAATATAATTATGAATGTAAGTTAAAGCTCTTGAACTTATAAGTATATTCCTTTCTCTGGAACTTTGCTTCTGATATTTCCCACACCTGTAATATTGCCCTCCACCAATCTGTTAAATTTCTATCAATTCCTAAGAGCCAAATTTGAGTTCCATTTCCTCCAAAGGGTCTTCACTGATTCCATCCATCGACCCCCAAGTGGTTAACATCCTTGAGTTGATGTCAAGCCTTACCTGATTGATCTCCAAGCCATTGGTGTTTAGGCGATGGGGTGCAGACCCATTTCTGACAACCCTGTCACATGTTGTTGAGAGCCGTTCTGAAGCTCCCCCTCTACATTTAGAGTTCAGCACTTTCAGTACTAAGGCTCCCTTACTCCTCCACCCCCTAGTTGGGGGGTGGGGGAGGAGAGGGAAAATGAGTGCCTTTGCCTTCAACAAACCTAAACTGTTTGGTGGAAAGACAATGTTATTTCTTTCAGGGAGATCACGTCTGAGTGATCTACTAGAGTTACTTGAAAGTGTAAATAAGCTGCTGGATAAGGGAAACCATTGGATGTAATTTCTTTTAGTCCTTAAAAAAAAGCCTTTGGTTCACAGTAAAGGCTTAAAAAAATTGTCACCATGGAATTGAAGGGAACAGATAGGGAGGTGGTTCAGAGATAGGAAACAGAATAGGGAGAAGTGGGCACTTTTCTGGATGTAGTATAAATAGCAGGGTCCCCTAGGGATCAGCGCTAGGGTCAGTCTCACTAATGAATGATGTGTAAAGGATTACATTGTTTAATGCCCCACATTGCAAAGGATACTGAGTGCTTCTGGGTATTGAAATGCTAAGCTGATGGTTAACTGCAGGAAAATCTTGAACAGGGATGAGTGAAGCAGCTGAGTGGTATAGTGGGCAAAGTACTGGGTTTGGTGTCAGGGACATGTGAGTTTGTATCTTGCTTCAGTCTCTTCTGTGCTGTGTGACCCTAGACAAATCAGTTAACCTCCCTCAGCCCCCTTTCCTCATCCCCAAAATGGGATGATAATGTGATGATCAGATAAGATGGTGTATATGAAGAGTTTTGCAAACCATAAAAGGCGCTATGTAAATGATAGCTATTATTATCATTAGTATTGGCTTCAATACCAGCAAGTATAGGGCAATACACATCAAACAGTCAATAAATATTTAAGTGCCTATGATGTGCCAGGACTGTGCAAAGGGTTGGAGATACAAAAAGAGGCAAAAGGTAAAGGAGAAATGATACAAATTCAGCTTAGAATATCTTGAACTCTAAGCTTATTTATGGTTAAGGATCAGAATCTATCAGTATTTTAAATTATACATATATCCCAATGTGCTCCTAAAACCAATAACTTCAAAAAATTTTCTTGAAGACAGTCATAGAAAAGAAATATAAGCATTAACAGACACTGACCCTAGGTTTTAGGAATTTTAAATTTCAAAATTCTAAGATTAAAGAGATGATCCAATTACTAGATTATTGAAGAAGAATAGAGGCTCTAAAAATGAAATTTAAACTCCATAATCACAATTTATCTCAATGGGAGAGGAGATTTTTGGTTTGTTTGTTTGTTTTTAAATCAGTATGACTGTACAGGAAGCTCTCTGATGAGCCCAAATTTTAAAAGGATATGTAATGAACAAAAAAAAAAAGTGGAAGGAAGTTACATAGAGAATAATGCAAAGGGGATAAATGTATAGGCAAAGAAGGCTTATTAGGATAGTTCAGGGAGGTTAAAGCTTGAACTAAGCTGCAGTTTGCAAAATATATTAAACACAACAATATCTGCCTCCCATTTTTACCCATTTCTGGCAAAACAAAACAAAACAAAAGAAACCAAATAAGCAATAGAGGGAGGTAATAGAGCAGATAGCAGATGGGATATTTATTAGATTGAGCTCAATTGTTTTGTATGGGCTAGGGGGAGACATCCTATATTTGTTAGCTCTAGTGCAGGGCTTCTTAAACCTTTTCCACTCCCAACACCTTTTTGCTGTCTGGCAGAGTTTGTTGGCATTGCATGGCTGGAGGACACACACAGTGCAAAGTGTGCATGCTTTGTGTTCAGAACCAAGGCTGCACTGAAGCTTTGTGATGCAACATCAGCAAACACTGCCAGAAATACCTTGGATTCAAGCATTTGATTTTTAATTAACTTTGGTTGTTGCACATTCAGAAACCTTTTACTGATGACAAATTTCCTGTGACCCCACATAGGGTCATGACCCACAGTTTAAGAAGCACTGCATCTAGTGTGTATGAGAATTCTTAATTTAAGAATTCTCATTTATGAGACCAGGCAAAACAAAAATGAAGCGATCCTTCCCCTTAAATAACTTACTTTCTAATAAGGAGATACAGATACATGGAGATATAGACACACAAGGAAATATATATACACACACATATACATAAATATACTTATTTTTATATACACATGTATATATCATATATATCTTTTACCCAGATATCTATACCTATATATCTTCTTATTAGTTTTACATATATATATGTACATATACATATGAGATAGATAAACAGATAAGAGATAGAGAGACAGACAGAAAGATAGATAGAGCAGTGAGGGGAATTTTAGTCTGAATAATCATAGGGATAGTAAGATTGTGTATGGAGCAACCAATTCATTAAAAAAAACCAGGTATCAACTCATAAAGAAATTAATGCAAAATGAATAATTTTAAGAATTCTGAGAAGCAGTTTTCATACCCAAAAAGACTCAGTCATGCTACATAAGTATTCCATATTGAGATTACTTTAGCTATAAAGTGCTAACTGCTGAATATTCAAGTGTTTTTTAATGAAATGAATATAACACATAACATATAACAATTTACAACTCTTACAAGTGAAAAGGGGAGTTTTAGAAAGAGGATAATTTTCAGAAGTCAGCAGGAACTCCTTCCTACAAGGCCACAACAATTTAATTAAATTGTGGGCAGCACATTCCACATTTAAAAAAAAAAAACCCACCAACACCAATACTCCCCTTCCTAAAGTCAAGCGTTTTCTCTCCTCTTTGAAATGTTTCCCGTTACACACTATTTGAGTTTGTTTTTCCATAATACTTCATGTACGGGCGGTGGAGGTGGGGGTGGCAGAGGAGGTACCTTTGGTTTTTTATGCTGAAGTCATGATTCAGTGACACATATTGATAGTGATCATTACAATGTGCTGCATCTGGTAAAAATAGCTGTTGTTTCCATAGTACTTTTAGGTCTGCAAAGTGTCTTTCAGACATCATTTCATTTAATCTTCACAACAACTATCTGAGGTAGGTGCTTTTATTATCCCTATTTTACATCTGAGGCAGCTGAGGCTCAGAGGAGTTTAATGGTTTGGCCAGGATTACATATCCAGTAGCAGGACTTGAACCCAGGTCTTAATGATACTGAAGCCACCTGAGTAGCCTCAAAATATCCATTATGCCTTGCTGCAACTTAATCTAATAAGCACACTGGTAAGCAAAAAACGAGAATTTTGGGGATAGCTCCAACCATAGAAAATGATTCTTCTTAACAGAGAGATGATTTTCTGCCTAAGGATGGAGGTAGATTTGGAGTAATGCTCACAAAGTACAGGTTGCTTCTGGCATTTGTCCACATGGTAAAAAGAAGGAGAAAGTGGGAAAGATCAGGTTAACTTAACTGAAGCAAAGCCAGAAAGAGAGCAGAGAGATGAAGGAAGTAATTCAGGCTGAGGTTAACCAAATATGCTAAAGAAAATTCCCACTAGATTTGATTGTTAATCATGGGATGACTTTCAAACACACAGCAAAATAGTTTCTATTACAGATGGAATTTACATTACAAATAAAAATATATCATAATGCATAGGAACACAAAGGATTTTCAAGTAATTTTTATTGATTTTTTTTTCTTTGAGGTCAAACACAAGTTGATTACAAAACATATGGACACATATAATTTACAAGTTAAATCAAAATGGATTGCTTAAAAATGATTTATATCATAATTTAATGTTTCAGAGTGTTGCATTTTTCTCATTTTGATCAAGATTTTTCTTTTTTTGTGAGGGGAGGGAGAAATTAGACCTGTGATTTCACTGACATATGAAACTTTCAGAGAGAAAACTCCTTCTACCAATGTTGGATGGTACCTGATCTACAACTTAGAATCAGAGAGCTGACTGAGGCACTGAAAGATTGAGACTAGTCCAGAGTCTCAGTGGCAGAACTTGAACCCAAGTCTTTCTGACTCCAAGGCCATTTTTCTGACCATGATACATGGTCTCTAGATAAAAAGTAAATTCTATTTGAACATTGCATTCCAAGTTTTCTTGGGAGGATTTTTTATAACACGAATCACAGAAATCCGTAATTTAAAAGAAAAACATTTCATTTATAAACTCTTCACTGAATAATCCCTGTTAACTATAACTCAAGGGGAACTGTGGAATTTTTGTACCATTAAGGATTTTGACTGACATTGGTTGGGGGTAGGGGAGTACCCATACCAATGAAATCACAGATCTCATATATATATATACACACACACATGCATATATGTATGTGTATATATAATATATATATATATACACACACATGCATATATGTATGTGTATATATATGTATATATATATATGTATATATATATATGTATGTATGTATATATATTTGTTAAATAATGAGAGGTATCATCAATATGAGAGGCAGCCAGGCCTGCTGGATAGAAGGCTCATCTTGATGTCAGGATAACCTAGATTAAAGGCTTCTACCTCTGAAGCATGCTGGCTATGTGACCATTAACTTCATGGTGCCCTAGAGCCTTGGTCACTCAGTGAGACTATCACTTACAGAATAGTAGCCCAGTCAGCGGAGATAGGTTTATCACTGGAAATTCCTAACATGGATCTAATCACATGTCCAGATATAATAACAATAATAATAATAAATGATAATAATGGATACATGCTACTGCTATGCTAAAATATAGAGGAATTATAATAATTGTAATACATAGGTGAGTTCCTTTCCAATGTTAAAATTCTATGATGTCCTATGCCTTTTGAAATTTTAAAATAAGATTTTATATATACATTTGTGAAAGCTTTTCTTTCTACAGAAACAAACACACATGCACACACACATGCACACACGCACATGTGCACACGCACACATGCACCAGAATGACTAATCTTCTTAGTATGCAAGGCCACATAATATAATGTTTGGAGATCTAGCCTCAGAGTCAGTAAGACATGGTTCAAGTCATTCTCTGACTCACACTGGCTGTGAGACTCTGGAGAGGACTCTTAACATCTCTGTACTCTCTGGTAACTCCCTGGGTCTATAAACTTTAGAGCATGTGCTGTCCTGCACTGGGAGAGAGGACTTCTTCACCCACACAAATGAAATCACAGGCTTGCTTCCTTCCTAGCACTGCTCCCACTAAGTTTCTACAAGTTGTTTTTTCTGCTAAAAATGACTTTGAAGTTAAACGGAGATTTCCTATAAAAACACCAGTGGTTTATAGAGAGTGTATATAACAATGTCCAGCTCTTCCATTTCTTTCTCTTCAGCCAAGGTCATTTTATTGTAACCAAACACTTTTTTTTCACTTACTCTAAATACTGAGTTATTGAATATAAAATAAAAACATTAATTTTAGGAGAAAATACATATCTGTACCAAGCACAATCATTTTAACTGTTGATTTAAAGGCACAACCTTCTATTGCAGAAGCATTAATACATTCAAAGAATCTTATCCCGATCTCTCATCACATCTCCCAACTCAGAGAAAGCAGCGTAAGCTTCAAAAAATGAACTCCACATGATCTTGTACAGTCTATATATACATCTTAAAAATGGATGTCAGTTTCTAAGTTCTCTAGGCTACTTATCAAGTATATTAAATAATAATAATATACATAATACCAGGGATTTCATGGTATAAAAATAAACGTACAAGATTTTCCTCCTCCCCATGCCTGCTGAGGATGCATTTCCCAACCCTATTTCCCAGTATATACTATATGTATTTATCTCTATCTGTGGGATTTTCATTGGTTATTTTCAAAGGCACTGGAGCTGACAGTTTGAAATATACATACTTTTAACTCTTTACAAATGGAGACTCCAGTGGCTAATTCCGCAGTGTATTAGAAACTGCAAGTCCTGGGATACAAGAGAAAAGATCTGCTTAAACTATGTCACTACCTACTTGGGTAATACTGGGCAAGTCAATCTCCCAATCAATTGACAAGCATTTATTATTAAGTGCTTACACTGTGCCAGGCATTGTGCTAAATGCTAAAGATAACAAAAGAAAAAGCAAAAAGAACCCCTGCCCTAAGGAACTAACATTCTAATGGGGGAGACACGTATATAAAAAGATGCACATAAGAGACATACAGAGAAAATGGGAAATAACTGTAGAAAGAAAGGCATTTAGGCTTTCAAAAATAAAAAAAGAAGAATGATTTAACTAAGTGACCTCAAAAGCTCCTTACAATGCTAATATTATATGATCTTATGATTCTGTAAGTCTGTAAAGTCTGATTAAATTACCAATCTAGAAGCTAATTTTTACCCACTGTACTTAAATGGAATAAAAAGTAGAGATTTGGGGATATTAAGTAACACTGGCTTTTGCTTCCCAGGTTCATACAATGGGAGATAAAATTTCATTTAAGATGACTTAAACTCCAATTAAGTGAAATGGAGAGTTTCCCCAAATTATGTTCCAGTCAATGCAAAATTGATCTGAAGTTACTGCTTTTTAAAATCGTATACATAATTATATTTCAGCATCACATAGGAAAGTAGTTTTATTGAAATGGACAGCACAATACTCTGAAATATACACTAAATAAAGGAAAAAGTAATTTTACTATAGTAACTTAGGGCATTTGCAGTCAGTAATAAAATTGTGGAGTACAAGCTTTGATAAGTTTGTTAATGTAGAAAAAAAAAAGGTGTAAACCTCTCCAGTGATATGAAAATAACAACTAGCTTTAATGGTCATTATGAGGATAGGGAGGGGTTTTTTGTTTGTTTTTAATCCAGAGTTCATTTCCATTGACATGAGCATTCTACCGGCTCTTGAATGGTATATGTAACTTCTGAGCCATTTCCTGAGCAGTAGAGAGGCACATTCACGTTCCGCACTCCAGTTTCCCGACAACATTTGCAGAATCTGAAATGGCTATCAATATTGACATTGTAGATGGTAGCAGATGGGCATTTCCCATCACAAGAAGCAACACTTATCTGTTACAGAAAGGGAAGAAGAAATGTGAGTCCATGAGAAGTTCCATTTTCACCATTAGTGAAAGAATGAGAGATAACCCTAAATTGTGCTATGTCTAAAATACCATTCAAAGATAACCATTTGATGTGTTCAACACTCCAGTATTTTATGGAGGTAGGTAATGTAATGTCTGCTCACTGGTTAGGAGACCTGGCAGACTTTCATAATGGCCTGTCTCTAGTCCTGATGGCTGGTTGGAGCCACTAAAAAGTCAGAACGACTTGGTATCATTTTCTGCCAGTCCCTTCACTAATTATTACAATTCTCAGATGTCTATGTCTGCTGGCAGATTCCAGAAAATAAGTTAAAAAAAAAAGAAACATGACCAGGATAAGCAAGTCAAAGAAAATTAACTCCCACATCAAGTAAAATAACACTAACTGGCACATATGAGTCAGAAAAAAATGTTAAACGATAAAGCAAGTATGACATGGGTACAAATTAATCAGATTATAACATATAGGAACTCCAACAAATGAGTCTGTTGTAACCAGAATTATACCACTCCCTATGAAAGCTGTGGAAAACTTAGAAAGTGTTTTCAATACAAGCATCAAAATGGTAATTGATTGGAAAGTAAGGGAAAGTTAAAGGAATTTGTTCTTTTTATCTAAAAAAGAATTGCCACAAGATAGGAAAATCATTTAGCTGTCATTTCTCAGGTAGAGAGAACTCTCAGGTGAGGAAATTCCCTCCACCAATTCAGATCATTCTTTGCAACTTTTAAACAGCTTCAAACAGTTTCCTGGGGTTACAGCAAGGGTAAGCAATTTGCCCAGTCCGTATTAGAAGTAAGACATAAACCCAGGTCCTCTCTGCTTCTCTGTTGCTTGGTCTAAATCTCTCGTTCTCCCTTTTTCTCTTTGCCCCTCTCCTCACTCTATTTCTGTTTTTCTACTCTCTCGTTTATGGCTTCTGTTTGATGTTGTTGTCCATTTCAGCAAAGAATAATTCATACTTCCACACATACTTTCTTTGAAGATATTAATCATTTTAATTGAAGAATAATCCCAGATTGGGGCTCCAAACAGCCATACATAATATAATGGAGAGAGTTCTGGATTGGGAGTCAAGGCATAGAGATTTGAATCCTGGATCTACCCCTTCTTAGTTTGTGATCAAGAAAAGATTAATTCAAAAATCTGGGTCCCAGGTTATTCATCTATAAAAAGTGGATAATAAAACTGGTGCTTATCTACCTTAGAGCTGCCATGAAAAAAGCCCGTCACGAAGAAGCACTATAAAAATATGAGCTGTTATTATTACACATCTATTTGTCTCCTGGAAAGAAATGTCCAGAGTTAAACAAGAACAGTGATTTTGCATACTCACAGGACTTTGACTTGTGCAATCTTGTTTTTTTATGGTTGTTTTTACTGTTACTTTCTGGCACATTCTTTCTTCCCTTCTGCCTGTTAAAATAAAGGAAATATTTGTTATTTCAACATATCATATTGGAATCTTTGTGACAATAGAACACATTTATTTCAACAATTTCTCTGCACTTAAAATTTTATTCACATCAGTTCATTGATTTTCATTTACTACTTATTCTAATACCAATGATCTCATAGTAATTCTTATACTGATGCACAAGAATATTTTCACACCTTTAGTGACTTCCATCTAGAATGTTGTTCATATTTTTATAGGATTTAAAAGACTGAAGGTTGTATCTGAATTTAGAACAAATGCATTTAAATACACCTTAAGCCATCTTTCCCATCCCATCTAGTAGTACAACTTAAATCTACTGCCATACACTCTGCTAATAACTGATTCTCATCACATGGAACAGTACTTCCAGACTGAACTAGACCGCAGGAAAATATCCTAGAAGAAGGGTAGAGTCAATTCACTTGCCTTTGAAACTCCCTCCCTGGGGCCATGCAACTTTGAATGATAAGTGACTGAACAGAGTTTAGCTAGGCCCAGGCCTCTGGTCAGACCATCAAGCCATGCTTCATTCTGTTCACCCAGGCTATCTTGCCATCTTCCATGATGCCACACATATGATCTGCCCCTCCCTACCTCGGATCAAGTCATCATCTTTGCAACTATCCAGACACTCCTCTATGTGGATACCACTCCTGTTAAACTCCTGGTGAGGATAGATTGTCTCACATTTGTATTTGTATCACCCTTGCTTAGGACAATGACTGGGATATAGTACGGGCATAGTAAAAGCTTATTTATTATGCATGCATATGCATGAATGTAATAATACATCTGTGGCAAGAATAGCCAGGCAACCAAAGAGCCAAAATGCTAACCCTCATATCGCTATTAGCATTTTATTGATGCCTCTATATTTATGAATGCAATTTTCACACAACAACACTAAATTGTAAAGGATGTGAATCAAATTTGGTAAGCTACATATGAACGAATGGGGAGTTATAGTTAAAAAGGGAGCCTATATGAGCCAAGATAACTAATCTAGAAACAATTAAAATAGAAATGAGAGCAATGTTGCAGCTGATCCAGAGAGCAAAGGAGAAATGATCATAGGATCATAGATTTAGCTTTTGAAGGGATCTTGGAGGTTTCATTTCACAGATGACGATGCTGGGACCCAGATGGGTTAGGTAATTATTTGCCTAAGCTAATCAGTGCCTGGAGTTGAAAATGAGGGCCTGTGATTTGAAACGAAGTTTCCCTGACTCCAAATGAGAGCTCTCCAATGTTTACCTATGAGAAGAAACAATATATGGAATGTCCTCAAAGAAATGTCTAATAATAGAAGGGAGATGGATAGGTGGACAGAGTGCCAGGCCTGAAGTCAGGAAGAGCTGAATTCAAGTTTGCCCTCAGACACTTACTAGCTGTGTGGCTCTGGGCAAGTGATTGTAACTTCTGTTTGCCTCATTTTTCTCAATTGTAAAATAATAATACAATAATACCTACCTCCCAGATGTCTTATGAGAATCAAATAAAATAATATTTGTAAAATACTTAGCATAGTCCCCGGCAAAGAATAGACACTTAATGCTTATTGTCTTCCATAAAAAGGAGGGGACAACCAAAGGGCCTTACTGGCAACCTTTACCAGTAAAACTAACTGCAGGCATACCTCCTGTGAGTTGGGTACATCCTCTAAAGCAGTGGGATCAAACTCATATAGAAACAAGGGCCACAGCTTCATACATAATGATCTCTGGGTGTCACATTTTGACTTAGCTATATAATGTAATATTTTCTATGTTTTATGGTATTTTTATTTATTTTTGTTAAATATTTTCCAACTACATTTTAAACTGGTTTGTGCTGTACTCAGGAGTGCTGTGGGCTACCTTCAGCCTGTGGGCAATGTGTTTGACACCTCTGCTCTAATGGGTTGAAATTTAGATCAACACAAGGAATATCTACAAGTGATGAGTTCACAGACCCAATACACTATTAATGAAGCATAAAATAGCTTTTTAAAAACACTCTTAATGCAGCATGTAGGGGTGTAAACACTCACTGAATTAATAGAAGCAATAGGCTTTTTCTCCCATCTTTGCTACTAGCCCCACTGTGCTAGTAGTAAGTTACTTAACCTCTCTATACCTTGGTTTTCCTATTTGGAAAATAAGGGTGTTGGAATAGATGATCTCTGTGTTCCTACTGTTCAGCCCTAAAATCCTGTGGTTATAGAATTTGATCTCCTGCAACAAATCCATCATGAAAAGGTAACAGAGATGTAATTGATTCACTTTGTATGCATTAATAACTCTTTAAAACATTATTTATTAAGGTAATACCTCCCACAATGGAAAGCTATATTACAGATAAGTCTCTCTGCTATATATCACAAGCTTTCAAACACTCCCACAAACAGTAGCAAGAGTAGCATATCATTCTATTGTGCTTTGTCCTTACACATACTTGATCAAAAAAATTCTTAAATACAATAATTCTTTCCTTGAAATCAACGAATTCTGAATTTAACATATAGTCCTAAACAATCACAGACGTCATTTTCCAAGTTAAATTCTCATTGGTATTGTTCAGATGATATTTTTCTACTAGACTCATCAAAAAAAGGAAATGAAAATTGGGGCGATAGATATAAATATAGATGTAAGTATATACATATAGTATATATAAATATGTGTGTGTACACATGTACTTTTTTTTAAACTTACATCTTTTCCTATATATCTTCTTCAGAAAAAAACAAAAACAACTTTCTAAGTAAGTATATGCAAGAGTAACTTTTTCCTGACAGAATTTTTGGTATTCCTTTCAAGTATACTTTTACAACTTGAATAAAGAACATTACATGGACCGTTGAATCTACTATACTCCTGTTAATACTATGTAGATAATAGAATATTTTAAAATGCACTTTACAAAAAGAAGAAAACCATCCATTTTCCAGTAGAATAAAGTAAAAGCTATGTTGGCTGGGCACTTTCCCAAACAGAAAACTTTAGAAATGAGCATTTCTTCAATCAAGTAATTAGCGCCGATACCTAAGCTGGAATCGAGCCTTTGGAGGTTATTTTAGGATTGTGAGCTTATTATTTATTGTTCCTGGCTCTTGGCAGGGATCAAAGAAAGAATGAGAGAGAGATAGGCTCTTAGGGCTTTCACCAACAATTCTGATTTACATGTGTGGATCACAACCCTTTCACTGACTTGTATGGCTTGAAAGAATGAATAAATCAAAGTAATATCAGAACATGAATTAATCAGAATTTTTGTCTAATTGACGTGTTCCTTTTTTGTAATATACTTTTGTCTGTAACTATACCTGAATTATGATTTCATTAGTAGAGAGAACTCCCAGGTGAAGATAGTCCCTCTACCAGTGCAAATCAGCATCTGCTCTATAACTTAACAGTCTTGAAAGATTGTTTGGGCCACTGAGAGACTGTGTGTGATCCGCCTAGGATCCCAGAGCCATTCGTTTCAGAGTTGGAACTTGAACACAGCTCTTCCTGACTTTGAGGCTAAGTCTTTATCAACCTTGCTACCTTGCCTCTGTCTGTAACCATAATATGATTTATTATTCAACACAGTTCCTATTATACTAAGGGGTGTCCCAAGTCTGAAGGTCTTCTAAACATAGGATTCACCCCAACTCAAGGACAATGAGGAGTTCTCTGTTCCCAACGTATAAAGCCTTGGATTGGGGGTGAGGAAGTCCCACCTCTGACACTTGCTGGTTATAAGATGATGAGAAAATCACTTAACTCATCTGATCCTCAGTTTCCTCATGTATAATTTGAGAATAATGGTGTTTTACTGGGTCATTATGAGACTAAAAAATACATTTATATGTAAAGAAATATGCAAACTCAAATTGATAGATAAATGCTGGTTATTGTCATCATTCTTTTTGCGGTGGTTGTCATTGTTCTTGACATTGTACTGTTGTTTTCACCATCTTTATTACTGTTACAAGATTGTTGCTGCCATTATTGTCGATTTTTGTTCTTACTGACTTTGTTACAACTGCTGTTTTCAGAATGATTGCTGTTATCATCATTGTTGTTTTGGTTGTTATTGTCATAGCCACCATCACTGTTGCCATCCTCATCATTATTGTGACGGTGGCAATTATGGGTATTGTTGTCATTCTCATTGTTTTGTTGTTTCCATCATTCCTGTTGGTATTGCTATTGCTTTCATTGTTATTACTGTTCTTATCGCTTTGTATTTATCGTTGTCAGTATTACTGTATTATTTGTTGCTGTGTTTATTATTATTGCTATTGTTGTAATTATTGTTTCATTGCCATTTTTGTGCTAGTAATGGTTATAATGGCTGCTGTCATCATCATAGTTGTTGCCTTTGCTTAATCTTCCCAGGAGAGTGAAGTGTACAGATTCACTAAGTTCCTCTGCTTATAAAAGCCAATACTCTATGACAGGGGTTTTTAACCTTTTTGTGTCATGGACACCTCTGAAGCTTGAGTGAAGCCTATGGACTCTTTCTGATAATTTTTAAAATATCCATAATTGAATGAAATGCTAAATGTCAGTTACTTTAGTGAAAATAAAGATGTATTTTTTTTTACCAACAAAGTTCACAGACTTCTGTGAAATCTATCCATGGTTCTTAAAGGATCTTAAACCTCAGGTTAAGAAACCTGTTCCATGGTAGATCTGAGACCCTGGAGCACATTGGTTCTATTGGACAACTCAAGACAGTATGAAAGTAGAAAACTGTTCACTGGATTCCATAAAGAGATTCACTGGGTACTTTCCTTCCTACTCTTTACCCTGGTACAGTGTCTCTAGAATATTGAATTTGTGGGATACCAATGCTTCATTATGGCTTGAAAGTCATCCTGGGCTCTCAAAGGCTATGCCACCACAATGAAAGTTCTTAAAGTCTCTACCCAGTTGAAAAGGCATTGAGTACAAACCCAGAAGCAAGGTTGTATCATTGTATCTGCTGAATGAAGACATGATGACTGAAGTGTGAAAAAAAGAGGGAGCCCAATGGAAGGAGTTCTGTACCTGGAATCAGAGGCTCCCAGTTCAAATCCCAGCTCTGCTACTTATTTCCTGTGTAACCTTGGGCAATTAATACATCTAACATCTCTAATGCTAGTTTCTTCATCCGTAAAATGAGGACATTAGAGTAGATGTCCTCTAAGGTCCTTCTATTTCTAAATATATAATCATACTCATAGTCTTTTCTGATCCCATATCTACCAAACACTCTCCCTCTCTCCTCAAATTATGTAGTATTGAAACAAAACATATCATCTGTTTGAATGTTGTTTTCTCTAGGACAGTGTAAGTTCCTCCAAGGAAGGGATCAGTTTTTATGTTTGTCTTTATACTCCCAGGGCCACATAGTAGGCACTTGGCAAATATTTGTTGAATTGACCCGAATACAAATGAAAACAAAAGACACACAGAACTGTAGTCAAATTAAAAGATGATTCTCCACAGAGAAGCAACATTGGCTTCATCTCACACCCAAGGGCAAGAGGAAATATTATCTAAAGGATTATGTGATCAGTTGGGTGGCTCAGTACCCAGTGCAGCAATAAATCAACTCAAACAGGCCTCAAGGTACATTAGTTTTCCATAAGAATAGATGGAAAGGAAGGCAGGGTGGGTGGAATGCGGATTAATGTTACACAGTCAAGAAAAAGAAGCATCACTGACCCTTTGGAGCCATGTAACAGATATGATGTTTTTCCCATGGGGGGGGGAATTTGAACCTCTGTGAAGGAAGCGTCTTCTTATGCTCCAAAGAATGATTGTTTGGATCCAAAGGTCATCCCCAGAAAATAGTTTGGTGGTGTTGATCAGAGGAAGAAGAGACTAGTAGTGGTTGGCAAATCCCTGCTGAGGCAGACATATGTCATCCTGACATGAACAGTAGGGAGGTAAGCTTGCCTATGAAACGGAGATAATGCTTGTACCACATCTCCTCTCAGAATTCCTCAGATGAAGGTGACTAGTAAATCTGCAAGCACGACCTCCATATGACATTTGGAGAAGTCTAATTAGACTCCAGAAAGAAAACCTAAGTCACAAACCTGGTGGCCAAGTGAAGCCAAACAGTGCCATACATCATTAAACTGCCTTGAATTGGTGATATCACCTTTCCCCTCTGAATTTTAATAAAAGAATCACAGTACATGTCATCAGCAAAAGCTAAATTAATATGCAATGTAACATTTATCACTTACAGATCTTGCAGCAGCCTTCATTTGTTATTGTTATAATACCTTCATTCTAGGGGAGGAAAAAAAGGAAATAATCATCTAAACACTAAAATGGAGTGTGGCCAAGTCACAATAATCTAAAAAGGGAAACTTGCAATAGGTGTTAAGAAAACTTACAATTCCTCCACTTTAGAAAAAAGGGAAATTCTGAAAAAAATGAGGCTAGGTAAAATAATACATTTTTGTTTTATAAAATAAGGGATTTGGACTAGATTATCTATAAAATTCATGTAAGCCTTGATACTGGCATCCAAATGTTTCTTGAATTTATGTGTGAATGTTGAATGGAAATATTTAATTAACCATAACCTAAAATACGACCCTGCAAAATATATTGACATGTGTTTCCTTAATAATAACAATTATTGGATTTTAATAGTTTTAAATTGAGTACAAACCTTTTTGCATTCAGTCTTGTTAAAAGGAGGGCAGACAACACTGTAGCCCAGAATCACTGCCCCTGTATCTGTCTTTATACACTCATATGAACTGCAGTTAAATACCCATGAACTTCCTTCCTGGAAAACAAAAAGTTATAACATTAGTTAAATAACTCAAATTAGTGTACTTTTCAAAGGGAATGGTCATATTTCCTTTCCTAGTTGGTGAAGAATCAAATCAAAATCAAGAGATTTTTTTAAATAGAAAATATCACTGTAGTTTCATTGGGCCTCAATGCTATTCTATTTTTCATTACCCTTTAATGCATTATAAATCACAAAAGTTATATTCCATAAATGTAGCCTTAAATGTAACCAAAAGTACAAATATAAATGTAAGACTAAAAAGGGAATAAAAAAAGTCAGGGGACAGTAAGCTCTTCCTCAATAAATCTGAATGGGTAAATGACAAAATGTAACTTTAAAAAAAATAATCTGGACATATCATCACAACTAACTTTGTAAGAAGTGAAACATGAAAAACCTAGAAAGGCTTGTATGGTCTGATGCTGAGTGAAGTGAGCAGAACCAAGAGAATGCTGTACACAATAACAGCCACGTTGTGCGATGACTAATATTGATAAACTTAACCCTTCCCAGAAAAACAAGGATCTAAGACATCTCCAAAAGCCTTGTGATGGAAAATGCTATCCACATCCAAAGAAAGAACTATGGAATTTGAATGCAGATTGAAGCATACTATTTGTTACTTTTTTTTCTCTTCTGTTGAGTTTTGTTTCCTCTTTCTGATGGTTCCTCCTATTGGTTCTAATTCTTATTTACAACATCACTAATGTGAAAATATGTTTAACAGGAATGTATATGTATAGCTTATATCAGATTGTGCACCATCTTGGGGAGGGTGGTGGGTAGGAAGGGGGAGAAAAATTTTAAACTCAAAAGCATATGGAAGTGATTGTTGATAAATCAAAATAAATTAACAAAAAATAAAAAGTCAGAAAAAAAGAAGTGAAATATGATATCAAAGCCCCCAAAGCCCAAATTAAAATACATTGTCACCGATAAATTCATAAATCATTTTGTGGAAAGTTCGCTGTTCTTGGGTTTGACATATATACTGTCCTTTCTATTCCTTCAACTTCTCCACAAAACTGAAACTCTTCCCCAAATTGTAAAGCTTACATTTTCATTCAACCCTATGCCATATTAAGTAATGAACATTCTAAACTGTTTTATCTTAGATAGGCATTGAAGCTCTGGTGGTAATCTGATTTCTGGACATGTCAATAACCACCAACAGACTACAGATGTACATACACATCTCTTAACTCCCATAATCAGTTCTCAGGCTCAGAGAGATTACATGATTGGCCCATGGTCACACGGCCAATAAATGTAAAAGGGAACATTTTAACTCAAGACTTCATGACTCCAAGTCCAGAGTGCTAACCAATTCAATTCAACAAGCATTCATTAAGCACCTACTGAGTGCAAGACACTAGGATAGATACAGAGATTGCAAAAACAAAAAATTATATTCCCTATGCTCATGGAGTTTTCATTCTACTTGTTGATCTCCCACTCTGCCATGAGTTCTGAATATTGATTTTATTTTATTTAGGATATATCCCATACAAGGACTATGAGAACCCTTTAGGGGTCACTACACACACACACACACACACACACACACACACACACACACACAAAAACCTTTTAGGAATTCTTGTTCCAAATTTCATCTATGTCTCAAATATTATTGAATTTTAATAAGGTAGCCAATAGAATAGTATACATCTTTGATATTCAGACATCTATAATAACAAGATGCTTCTTCCTTATATGTTCCCAATACATACACAAATCCCATATATCTTTATTAGTAGAAGGCTTGATACCTCATATATAAATGTTTCATTTTCAACCTTGAAACTACAGGACACATTCTTGCAGGTACCACAACAATCATAATCGCTGGTAGAAGGAACATATACTTGGTGCTGTGTAAAATAATAAAACATTTAAGTAAATATCAAATAAGCCATGAGAACATTTAAAAAAGCCACACACACAGCTAGGTACCAACTAGCATAAATAATGGACCCTATGAAGTGATTGCAAATATTTTAATTTGCATTATTCAAAGTTGTGTTTATGTAAAGTATGGTCATTGACTCCAGCCTAATAAAATCATACAGTACAGTTTTTAATAATGTGACTACTTCAGAAGATTCATTATTCACAATAATCCAGATCTACCACCACTACCCCCTTTAAAACAAATAAAATTAACCAGTCCAGGTAAGAATTTTTCCAATACAGAATGATAAAATGTAAGAACCAGAGACCTTAGACAGCATCTAGCCCTAATCTCTTATAATTACATATTTTCCTGTGGCAGGTAGACATTGCCAAGGTTGCATCAAATTAATTCAAATAGTGTTTAACTTTAAGTGGTGCTATTAGGGATGGTTTCAGTGTCAACCTTTGTATCTGTCAATAATGGTGCATCCAGCCTCCCAAATATCCTGAGGGTCTACAGAAAAATAAGCTTTATGAAGTGCAGAGGCTCACCTTTTACACTTATCACCATATAGCAGACAGTGAAAATTTGAGGTCTATCATACAAAAAATAATGGTCTATGTTAATTGTTGAAACTCCAGTCAATCAAAAGCTTTTAACCTCTAAAACAATCACTATTTCAAACAACTGCAAATTACATCCTGAGATTCCATTTGGGTGCCATCAAATAAGATAATGTTATGAAAAGCAAACTGAAAATTTTTAAATGGCATATAAAAGTAGGCTATTACTATTTCACAGGATTCTTACCATTTCACATTCTTTTGAACAATTCACTACAGAAATATTCATGGCATGATAGCCTGTACTGTTATCCTTTTCTTCCAAGCATTCTATTGGATAACAGTAATCTTCTTCCAAATATTTTATCATGGACTCTCCAGGATTCAAGACATTTACTTCTTGAAATACACACACATTATCCTTTTCTAAGAAAAGAAAAAACAATTTGTTAACAGGGAAAGGTCATATTCAATTTTTCATTAAACAAAAATACTAATATAGATTGGACTTATGATTTCATTGGTAAAGTGAATTCTCTACCAATGCATATCAGTACCTCTATGCAGCTCAAAGTCTGAATGAGGTGCCTAGAACATTGAAAAGTTGAGTGACTTGCCCAGGGTCACTCAGAAAGGAGATCCTTGGCTTCCTAACTTCCAGGACAGCTCTCTATCCATTATTCTAAGCTGCTTGTAACCAAGAAAATTTGTTACTTTTGTATGATTTTGAATCCTTAACCTGATTATTTGTAAATAATGAAGGTTTTAGCACTGTACAAATGTGCCCTTCAATGACATAGATCACAACCATCTTTAACTTAGCTAATGGTCTTAAAGAGTGGTTGTGGCTCACTTGGTGATGACTACCTTTGAATTTTACTAGACTACTCTTCTTATAGAATATTTATTCTTTAAAATGTGTTAAGGAACTGGATTGTTATGTTGGCCATTGCTACTGGATTGATTTTTTCCCTCCTCTTTTTTAAAAATGTCTTGTTATAAGAGAAAGATGGCTTTCTGGGTGGGAGCAGGAGAAATGTACTGGGAAATAATAGTTATGTAAAAAGGAAAGCATCATCGATGGGATGATAATAGGGTCTGGGCCTGTGATTTTGTTGGGATTAGAGACTTTTCAGAAGAAACTCCTTCTACCAATGCAAGTTGGCACTTTCCCTGCAATTTTAAAGTCTTGCCAGGATCATAGAGTCTGTCTGTGTCAGAGACAGAATTTGAATCCAGGTCTTCCTGGATTCCAGGTCTCTATCCATTATACCACATTGTCTCTCAACACTAATTTTTTAAAAAATGTACTTTGGAGTATTTGTTAAATATAGCTGTGACTTTAAGACAGTTGGACCACCTCTACATAGCTGAGGGTGAAAATTCCCAAGATTTTCAAAGAATAGTGTTACCAGAAAAAAAAAAGATTCTTGATGGCTTTTTCACTAAAATAAATACAGTATACCCACTAAAAAGTATTTGCTGGTAGTATTAGTCACCAAGTCATATCGATCCTTTCTTTTCACACTCTCTCTCTCTCTCTCTCATCCAGTGTATTTATTCTACCACTATCATGCTGGTCCAGCCCTACACACCTTAGGAGTGACTTACTACAGCTGCCCATAGTTGATCATCTGGCTTCTAGTTTCTTCCTACCATTTTTCTTCAATATAGGCTGCTATGGGGGTAGCTAGATGGTGCAATGGATAAAGCACCAGCCCTGAAGTCAGGAAGACCTGAGTTTAAATACGGCCTCAGACCAAACACTTGACACTTACTAGCTGTGTGACCCTGGGCAAGTCACTTAACCCCAATTGCCTAAAAAAAGAAAAAAAATATATATATAGGCTGCTATGCCTCACAGATTTGTTTTTGGACTGGACCTGTAATTTCATTATTATAGGGAACTCCTGACCAGGAAACTTCCTCTATTACAGCCGATAAGCATCTTCTAAGTTATATATAGGAGAGTTTCTTGGGGCACTGAGAGATTAAGTGACTCCTCTGGATATAAGTCTCTGTATCAAAGGAGCAACTTGAACTCATCTCTTCATTCCTCCAATATAATGCTGCTATTATTTATTATTTATATATTACCAGTCCTCTATCAAACCTTCCCTAATAATATCTGCCCCTGATTTCTTCCTTCCCTAATTCCTTTTGTATTTGTCTGTACTGCAATATTACACATTACATATTTACATTTATATAATTCCATAGCTAATGTCATCCTCAGCTAGATGGCAGAGTGGATAAAGCGTCTGGTCTAATGTCAGGAACACTCCTTTTCATGAGTTCAAATCTGGACTCAGACACTTACTAGCTGTGTGACCCTGGGCAAGTCACTTCACCTGTTTGTCTCAGTTTCCTTATCTATAAAATGAGCTGGAGAAGGAAATGGTAAACCACTCCAGTACCTTTGCCAAGAAAATCCAAATGGGGTCACAGAAAGTCAGACACAATTGAAATGACTCAACATCCTAGTCTTTGGAGGGGTTTTAAGAATACATTTTTTGCCACATTTGAACTGGATTGAAAGTTGTGATGTAGAATATTATCACATTAACTTCACATATGCATATCTCAGCACTACAACTAGATAGTATAATAAAGTTTTGTTCAGGGCTTTAAGGACTGTAAGACTCTTTATTCAGGGTGTCCCAAATTTAGGGCCATTTTTAGCTTTAAACAGCACTAAGACTTTTGGGACTGAGAGAAATGATTATCTTTCCATTATATTCATAATCGATTATTAAATTAGGATTGAGTTTTTCCTTTCTATTTCCTTATTCTGGGACAAGCCCTTGCAGTTCATTTGATCAGTCTCTGAAGGATAAGGCTAATAAAAGAGATTGCCCAAATCCTCTGGGTACATGCTCTGAGATCTTGGGCAGGATCCTGCCCAACTAGAACACCTTACAAAGAATCTAATCTAGGTGAATTCTTGCCCTTAGGAAGTAAGTCTGTGCCCTGCAGTCTCCATTGCAGTCTAGAGGTACCCAGTTTATGAAGGAGAAAAAAAATAGTGGTCAGGTAGAGATAGATTCATTTGTCCAGACTGCTGGAGGCGCTGAGTCTCATGATCAAGTCATATTCTCAGCAGGAGGAGCTGAAGACTTTTAGCCCACCTCATTAATTGTTCACCAGTCAGGGCTGATTTTCACCTGTCAGGGGCACCTCCTTTTCCAAAAGCATTTAAACATTCAGGGATCTGCATGGTTTTGTCTTTGGTTACTGAGAGAGACCACTGATTATCAATTTGTTGATTATTTCCTAGCCTAATTAATAAATTGATTATTAACTACCCAGAAACTCTGTCTCTTGGGCTTTTTATTCATCACAGTGATGAAGAGGGGATCCCAAAAAGGAAAAACCCTGGATTTTCCCACTTGGCAAAATCTCTTGTGTTCCCCTGAGGCTATAATCTCATCAACTGGCCTTTCATTGTGGACTTCCCCATGGCCCCAGGCACACCCTTAATCCTAGCTAGGCTCCATTTTGGCTTGGCCAAGTGGTCCAGGTCCCTGGAATTCTATTACCTCATAGACTACTTGGCCACTCCTAGATCCCTTCCACAGTCTTAATGTATATAAGGTCCATCTCCTCTCCATTAAGGTGCTTAGATTCTTATAATCTAGCCAAAGGCTTAGATTCTTAAAATCTAGCCACTGCTCAGATTCTTAAAATCTAGCCAATAGTTCACTAACGTTCAGACTCCTTAAGAGTCCACCCAATATGATAGATGTTCTAATAACCTTATCGTTGGCTGAAAGAAGGCTTGGGTTGAATTCTTTCAGACAGGATCCATGTGTTCTGATTTTTGGGTTCCAGCACCCTTGAGCCCCTAAACCTCAACAACAGCATCACAGGACACCCTGATTTTATTGTCATTTCATCCTCACAACAACTCTACTGGCTTCTTCCAACAACCTCTGGGAAACAGGGAAGGTGCTCCCATTTTACAGATGAGGATAGTGAGCCTGAGAGGATACATGAATTGTCCAAGGTCACACAGGGTTAAGTGCCTAAGGTCAAATTCAAACTCAGAGCTTACTGACTCCAAGTCTGGCACTCAATATAGGGTACTACCTGGTGGTCAATTTACATAGACTAACTCTGTTCCAATAAACATCTGTTAGATCATTGATCACTACTCTTGGGTCTTTGTGCTAAATACTAAAGATTAACATTTTTAAAGTACTAGAAGCTGAGCGTTCATAGGGTATAGAAATTAAGGTGAGACCAAATGGCAGCATGAAGGATTTCAGAATCAGTGAAATGAAATGACCTCAATAACTTTTATTTTTTTAAAAGGCAATGAATGCAGATCAAAGATACTTTTTCTTTATTTGTCTTGGGATTTTTGTCTGTGTTTTCTTTAACAGAATGACTTACACAGAAATGTGTTTTGCATGACTACACATGTATAACCTATGTCAAATTGCTAGCCTTCTCAATGAAGGGGTGAGGGGAGGGAGGGAGAGAATTTGGAACTTAAAATTTGGGGAAAAAAGAATGTTAAAATTGCTTTTACAAGTAATTGAGAAAAAAAATTAACTAAAAAGGCAAGCAGATTACTGCTCTCATGTTATTTACATTTTAAAATAACTGATTTAAAAAGGAACCAGTCATGCACAAATAAAAATAGTTTTAGATACTTCCTAACTGTTGGTAGTAACACCCTTTGTATATCACTTATTCATTATTGGGGAGGGGGGGAATGTAACAAGGAAAGTTACCACAGAGATACTTCTGGCATCCACAATCACTTTGAAAGGACTGGTCTATTAGAGTGAGTTCTCCCTGTTAATTAAAAGAGAGAGAGAGAGAGAATATCAATAGGATTAGACAATACTTTTCAGAGACACAACTTACAAAATCAGAGACTCTCTGAGCCTAAGTTTTCTCATCAGTAAAACAGGTATAAGAATATTTATACTGACTCCTCCCAGGGGATTGTTATCGGGAAAGTGCTTCATAAAATACAAAGTGAGTTGCTTTTATTACTACTACCCAAAAAGTGCCCCAAACTCCTTTAGACTTGTTTTTGCTTTATAAAGCCACTTCTCTTGACTCAAATACTCTTATCTCTTACACATTCATTTCCTTTTCAAGACCTCAGATCTTGCATAAAAATAATGATGCATTAAGATTTGCAAAGTGCTTTACATATATTTACATATATCTCATTTTATCCTCCCAACAATCCTGGGATAAAGTTACTATTACTATCCCTTTTTCTACAAATAAGGAAACTGAGGCTGAGAAGTTAATTGACTTGTCAGGATCATACAACTTGGGTTTCTGAGATGTGATTTTAACTCAGGTCTATAATTCACAGTTATACAGGATTTTAAGGTTTATAAAACTCTCTTCACTACATTCCTTTATTTTTTAATTTTTTTTTCCAGGCAATTGGGTTAAGTGACTTGCCCAAGGTCACACAGCTAGTAAGTGTCAAGTGTTTGGTCAGAGGCCAGATTTAAACTCAGGTCCTCCTGACTTCAGGGCCAGTGCTCTATCCACTGTACCACCTAGCTGCCCCCCTCTTCACTACATTCCTGAGAAGAACACAGTACAAGTATTATTATACCAATGTGAGAGATGAGGAACCTGAGGAAAAAGAGGCTAAGTGATCTACCCATGGTCATAGAGCTAACAAGTGACAGAGCTGGGATTCCTCTGACCCATGGGCCAGTACTCTTTCCACTTTAAGATGCTTTCTCTCTCATGTAGGACTCTTATGTCTGTGTTCCTTTTGTATTTATATACTGTTTTACATTGTATTTATTTCTACATATGGAAAATCCTATTAGTAGATTGTAAGTTCCATGAGGGTATGTACTATATCTTAATATCAACAATCCATGATTTGTCTAATTGCTACAGATATGAAATTATATCAACTCTGAGGACTAGAAATACAAATCAAACCTGGTTTTCTTAATTGTCTAGTAACACATCCTATAGAGCAGAGCTTCTTAAACTTTTTCCACTTTACGACCCCTTTTCACATTTCAACAGCATTCGTTGACATTGTGAGGCGTGATGGCATGCACAGTGCACAGTGTGCATACTGTGTGTTCAGAACCAAGGCTGCAATGAAGTTGCACAATGAAAAACAGGCAAGCACTGCCAGAAAGACCTCAGATTCATTACAAATTTAATTTTTAATTAATTTTTAATCATTATTCATTCAGAAACCTTTTACTGTTGCCAAATTTTTCACAACTCCATCACAGTTTAAGAAGTGTTACACAGTGAGCTCTTTTTGAGTATTTATGCCATGATGCTTCCATTCCTACCTGGTGAAATACATAGCCAAATCCTCAAAACTCTTAGCTATAGCAACAAGGCCAGCCGCTGAGGACACCTTGAGTTGATTATCTGAGAAGAGCTCCCTTACTTGAGCTGCCCATTATTTTTCACTGGCCAAGCTTCGCGGAGCTATGGTTATTATTATTTTTTTTTGCAAACACTTACCATGAATATTTCTATACAAGATGACCAAATGCCCATGAAATTATTTTTCTTGTCACCTTTAGAGGCATAAAAATCCCACTGTCAAATCCCTTATTTGCCTTGCAACGAGAATCTGAGAAGCATCCTTCCATGAAGCTGTACCTTCCTGCTGTCTGCTCATTTCACTTATAGCACTAAGATCAAGAAAGAAGTGATTGAGGGCACCCAGTGGACTTCATAAGCATTCACTGAGCAGGGGCACATTAAACAAGGATCTCACATTTAGGAGGCTAACAGCTAATGTTCATTCAGATAATCCAAAAACTGAGTAATTTTAGCACTATCTAGCACTTTTCTGCTACTCTATCCCTACTACTGTAGAGAAAGAAAACCTCACAGGACAGTGGATTTGTTTGCATTTTCCTTTGTTTCAGGGATTGGTGTGACCCAATAGTTCATCTCTATGTGGGTAGCCTGCTGGTAACAACATTCTCTATGCTCATCTAAGGTGGTCCTCAGAAAGCAGACATCCTCTGATAAGATGTAAAGCTTTTCCAGCATGAATCTGTCAGAGATTGCACCCTGAGAGGCAGTCTTTAAGAACTGAGAGTCTCTTCCACACCATGAAGAAGCATCTAAGCAGGACTTTTTAGAGGTTATATATATGAGATAAATCAATTAAATAGGCTATGTCAAAGCACTTTGGAAAGGTTAAACATGTTATACCCATGTAAGGCAGTGTGTATTATTACCAAAGAATGAGTTTGATTAATTCAGTGTTCAATCAACATTAAGTGTCTAATGTGTATATAACATAACATGTGTTCATTCAACATTAAGTGTCTAATATGTAAATGATACTACATGAGGCAATCAATCATCATTTAGTGCCTGCCTTGTACAATGAGAAACAATGTTAAGTTTAGCTACATGGTCCTTGTTTTCATGGAACTTAATACTCTAGTGACTTACTGAGTGAAGCTACACTGTCCAAAAAAGAGATAAAATTGATACCAAAAGTGCTTAACATTCCTGGACGTGGAGCTCAGCCAGCTATAATTCTGTAAAATTCAGGGAATTAAATAAAATTTCTCCACTTGAAATATTATTAATCTACAGGTTCAGGGCTATGTCCCTCCCTCCAGTGTTATAAGACCATTACAAAGAGGGCTGGGGCAGTTGGGTGGTACAGTGGATAAAGTGCCAAGCCATAAGTTAGGAAGATTCCTCTTCTTGAGTTCAAATCTGACCTCAAACACTTACTAGCTGTATGACCCTGGGCAAGTCACTGAACCCTGTTTGCCTCAGTTTTCTCCTCTACAAAATGAGCTGGAGAAGGAAATAGCAAAGTGCTCCACTACCTTTTCCAAGAAAACCCCAAACAGGATCATGAAGAATCAGACACAACTGAAAACAACTGAATGACAACAACCAAAGGCTATCTTTTAAAGATCTGATGTAGAGTACCACTTCCAGGAGCCAAGATGGAGGAGCAAAAAGGTAGTCACTTTCACCCTCCCTTATCAACTTCTGAAAACCCAGAAAATATCACCCCAGAAAAAAACCCTGGAACAGCTGAACTAGAAGAAAGACGGGGAGCAGCAGTACAGCAGCCCAGCAAATGGGTCTCCCAGTGCCTCAGCAAAAATAAGAGAAGCAGAACTACAAGGGGCCCCACATGGATAAGTACCCTTCAGTATTCATCTAAAAGGAGCTAAAGGACACAACCTAAAGGCTTCCTAAAGCCCCAGCCTTGCTGGTTCTAGCCCAACACCAGGTGAGCTGTCTCAACCCTGCAGCCTCCAACTGGCAACCAGGAAGAAATCCTGAAGCCTAGGTGGTAGAGCAGGCAAACACCAACACCTGGACCTCTGAGTGCCTCAGTAAGGGAAGGGGAACCGATGGAGGCCAGCTTGGAAAACCACCAGGTGCCTCAGCACTGTACCATAAAGGAATCTCCTAGTGCACTAGCAGAAACGAGGGAGGCAGCACTGCAAGGGGCCCCAGGCAGATAAACACCCTGCACCACCCATCTAAAAGGAGCTGAAGAAAGCTAAAGGAAAGGAAAAGCAGGCAACCTAGAATTGCCTAAAAGTTCGAGTGTTGCTGACTCCAGCCCAACACGAAGTAAGCTGCCAAAACCCTACAGCCTCTAATTACCAACATAAGAGGCCCTAGCACACAAAGCCAGTGACCAAGACCTAGGCTCCCAACACACAAAGCTTGGGTCAGCGCTGTCTGTTCCCCAGCAGGAGAGCTCATTCTTTTTAAAGACCAGGGAATAAAGAAACACCATGAGTAAAAAGAAGCATACCATAGATTCATATTATGAGAAGAGTGAAGATCAAGACAAATTCTGAAGAGGAAAGCATTGTCAACAAATCCACATGTGCAATGTCAAAAGGAAATATGAACTGGTCTGAAGCCCAACAAGCCTTCTTAGAAGAGCTCAAGGATTTTAAAAAAGTCAAATGAGAGAGGTAGAAGAGTCCTTAAAAAATACAATTGGCCAAGTGGAAAAAAAGTACACTGAGGAAAACAAGTCCCTAAAAAACACAATTGGCCAATTGAAGAAGGAAGTACAAAAACTAACAGAAGAAAACAATCTATTAAAAACTAGAATTGGAAAAATGGAAACTAATGACTCTATGAGAGAGCAAGAATCAAACAGAAACAAAAAAATTAAAAAACAGATGAAAATATAAAATAACTTATTGGTAAAACAACTGACCTGGAAAATCGATTCAGGAGAGACAATTTAAAAAGTATTGGACTACCTGAAAATTATGATGAAAAAAAGAGCCTGGACAGCATCTTTCAGGAAATCATATAGGAAAACTGCCCTGAAGTCCTGGAACCAGAAGGTAAAATGACCATAGAAAGAATACATCTCTCACCACCTGAAAGAGATCCCAAATTGAAGATGCCAAGAAATATAATAGCAAAATTCCAAAATTACCAGATAAAAGAGAAGGTGCTGCAAACCACCAGAAAGAAACAGTTTAAATATCATGGAACTACAGTAAGGATTACACAGGACCTTGCAGCTTCTACATTAAAAGTCCGCAGGGCATGGAACATGATATTCCATAAGGCAAAGGAGCTTGGATTGCAGTCAAGGATCAACTACCCAGCAAACATGAGCATGATTTTTCAAGGGAGGAGATGGATATTCAACAAAATAGGAGACTTCCAAACCTTCCTGATAAAAAGACCAGAGCTCAACAAAAAATTTGTTCTTCAAGTACAAGATTCAAGAAAGACATAAAAAGGTAAATGGGACAGAAAGATACAATATGTTGTTAATAAGGGTGGATTGTTTACATCCCTACAAGGGAAGA